TATAAATTTTGCTTCTTTTGTCTCCCTTTATAAAATTTCCTAATTCCGCTGTGACTCAAAATTTTCTTCCATCCTTTCAGACTTGTGTCATTTATGTTGAGGGAGCAACATTGGTCCTGGTTTTTTAACAAATAAGTCATCATTATCAATTCTAATTTATGAATTGTCCTATAAATCTCCATTAAGAATGACATTATTATTAAATGGGGAATGATAAACTTCAATCTCTATAATCCTTCTCTCTCTCTATACAAATTATTTCTTATATTTTAATTTAAAAATACCAACCCATTAATCTAATTACTGTTTTAGATTCTAATTGGCTTCTTAAATCTCAAGGGCCCGATCTACGAACAACCTGGCAGCCACATATTGTCCAAATTTGTGATATGGTTGAGCTTCAATTTAACATAATTAAGAAATGTTCGTTTGCAGTTAATACAGATAAGTTATCTACAGTAAACTTAATATCACGTTGTTTTGGGGCAAAAATTAGGTATTTTTGTAATTTTAATTTATTTCAGGGTTATTATAGTCTTTATAATGATAATTATTTAATTTTTCAATCCCAAAACGACGTCATTTTGGAGAGTAAATGCAGATAACTTATATGCAGTAATTGCAGAAATATTATTCTGAATTTTAAGAATGTGAGAAAAGAAATGACGAAATAGTAGTTATTATTGTAATTAGAAGGATAATGATATAGTAATTAAAAAAGAAGAAGGATAATGATATACAAATATATAATATTTAAAACAGATAAAAGAGACTAAAGTACTGGGTTATTAGATAACAAACTTGGCTTTTTTATTAAATAAAATGAGATAAAATATTAATTTAAAAATATTTAAGTATACAAAAACAAATTTACAAAAAGTAACAAATTTTTTTTATTCAATATTTTAATTCTTGCAGTATTACCTTAATTAAACATAATGATATTTAAAACAAATAGAGTAAGTGTATGCTTGGACTAACTGTGAAAAAAAAAAAGATTATGATAGAAATTAATAATGTGCATAATCAATTTTCAAGCTAGAAAATTAATTTATATTTGAATGAGTTAATTTATTGTCAATTCTAAGATAGTGCTTTTGTTTGAATTGTGTAAAAAAAAATCATTTCAATGTATTAAGTACTAAAAGTAATATGAAATGGTTGAAATATTGTTGGGTTCCAATAGAATATTATTTATCAAAGCTACTGAAATTATCTAAAAACAATAATCAAAATGCTCACATTTGGACCCGTTAATTTGTTTCTATTTTTTTATAAAAAATTTTAACAAAAAATATGTTTAAGTTTTTTATGATAATTAAATAAGTTAAATTTTTTACAAAAACTAGTTTTAATATGCTTTCTAAAAATTTAAAAGAGTATCTTATAAAAGAAATCAGTACAAAAATATTTTTTTTCCTTCTAAAGCTTACCAAAGGTACCAATTAACTTTTAGAAAAATCTATTTTCATATAACCTTCAACACAAACTGGTTTCCTTTTGAAAAAAAGGTTAATTTGCATGAAAAAAAATTTCCAGAAAAATTAAGGAAAATGAATTAAAGGGATATTTGAAAATAATTATTTTTGTTAAAAAATACAATTAACATTTTTTTACCACAATCCTTGTGAAATCTCATAAGACACTGCATGGAACAAGGCCATAAAATAATTTTTTGGCGCCTTCCCCAACATGATACAACCCTGTTTTCTTCTATAATAATAATTTATTAATGTTTAATTTTTTTTATTTAAAAATTTAGGTGAAGTTAGACACTGATATCTGTCAGGACAGACTTCTCAACCTCTTTGAGGCTTCATTAATGAAGTATGCGGATTGGTGTGGTGGTGTTGTAGTTGTAGTGTAATATGCAATGTTGTTAAAATTGAGATTTTAAGTAAAATCAGAAGGGGATTAAAAAATTATAAAACGTAAAATCGTAATGTAAAAAAATCGTAAAAACGTAAAAGCGTTTGAAATATTAATAAAATCATTTTGATGAAAAAAATCGTAAAAACGTAAAATCGTAGTGATAAATCGAGATTTTAACAATAATGGTAATATCTTCAATGATGGTGTTGAGGGATGAAAATGATAAAAAAAAATGAGTATTATGAATTTTTTTATGTTGATAAAAGTTAAAATTAAGGGAAGTCACATTCCCATGCAAGGAAGAGAAAACCACTAACATCTTTGAAAATTTAAGATTATATTACATATTGACTATGAAAAAGAATTAGAATTTAGGTGGTGCACTGTGCTTGCAATTTTTTTTTTTTTGAGTTGGAAACCCAATCTACATCACCTTGCTAACTACTCCAAAGACGTAATTAATTTTGGGATTTGCAATAAAATGGTCAATCTGCCAATGGTGCTTGAGCTGTCTCTGACTTTTCTATGCAAATGCGGTAACAACTAACCAGCCATTAATTACATTATTATGGGATATGGACAGTCTCTTACACTCCTCCTCGGAATTCAATACACAATAATCACTATTTCGCTTTCAACTTTCTTTTTTTCTTAGGACCTTTGTTAAGAAAAGCCCGAGCGTGTGTCTACCGTTCTTTTTTGACTCAAACTCATTCACATACTTCATGGGAGCGTTTGGTATGCGGGATTCTTGAAGAATGTCGAGAAACTGAATTTTTTTAAATTTTAAATTTACGAATATTATCATAAACTGAATGTAAAAATCATATTTTTTAAAATTGAGATTTCTGACTAAATTTTTTTTTTCCCTATACCAAACGCCCCGAAAGTGATTCAGCCAATACACGCTGCATGGTTCTGTAGCATAATTCTCCTTTTCTTCTATTATCATTTGATTTGGTCAATAAATTAAGGATATATTTGAATATGTTTTTTTTTTCTTCTTAAAATTATCTTGTAGAGTAGTCAATGAAATATATGTTTCTTTTGTATTTTTTTTTGTTTTGAAAATTAAAAGTCAAAAATAAAATAGAAACAACTAAAATATGTTTTCTAAATTTGATTCTAAAAACTAAAAAGTATATATAATTTTTAGAACTATTTTTACAAAATAAACATCATCAAATAGGTTTTTTTTTATTATTCTGAAAATTTTAATTTTTTTTTTAAAACAAAATTCAATCATACCCTAAATTTTTGCATATAATTTTATTACATGTATAAATTCAATACTGTATTGATAAACGATTTCACTATATGTATATAATAAAACTTTTATCTCGTAATTGAATCTTAAGTTGAATAAATGCTACTATAATGATAACGTAAGTAATCAAAATTTATTGTTATTGTTCAAACTTATTTGAATATAATGCGATCTTGTGCTTGAGTTACCATGGCCTAGGTGCATCTACAAGACACCTTCGTTGTTATGTTATTGTTGTTGTTATTTTTTATTTTTATTTTTAGAGAAGATAAATATCCCTCATATATTACCTATATTGCACCGACACCGACACGGGATACAAGACGACACGCCGACACATTAAATTTAAAAAATGTCATATTTCGACACGTTAGAACACGTTTTGATATTAAATAATATTTTTAATATATATAATATAATTTAAATTTAATACATAAAATAGTTCATAACAAGTCATATAATCAATCAAATATTCAAATTCAATAACATAAATATAAAACAAAAGTAGTTTTTCATGCCTTGTTAATTTTTATGTCAAATTCCACAACAACAAAAAATTGACTTATAAATTAATTTTTTCTAGTTAATAAAATAAAATTTATACCTTAAAAAAAAAGTGTCGGATGTGGGTCGGAGTGTTGACCACGTGTCGAAAAAAATTAATTGCATGTCAGAAACACGTGTTGGAGTGTTGACCACATGTACCAAAATATTAACCACGTGTCGGAGCATGTGGGTATCCGACATGCAAATTTAAAAAAAGAAAAAGACATTTCCGTGCATTCTAGTATATTACGACTGCCAAGAGTTTCCTAATTTAAGACTTTTCATTTAACGAATGAAATGGACCTAAACTAAAATAAAATATCTAGAACATTTATAATTTAAAAATAGGTATATTAAACACTAATATATTTTTCCGTTCATATTAGATTTGTTGAGATATAATGAGTTAAAATGCTAGGTTATTATAAATTTTTGTTGAACATTATCACAAACTGGATTGTAAATAACGATTCATTCTTAATATAAAGGTCAGTAGGTATAATTTTATGATTAATTTTTTCTCTGATTCAATATAAATTAACACGACTCCACAAGATTTCAGAAAAACATAACATGTAAAAGAAATATAATAAAATCAACTTTTTGAATAGTCAAATTATATTTGAACATTCAAAAAACTTTATTATCCAATTACTAATAAATAAAACAATGATAGCATGATGAGAGAAGTGGAGCGCGTAGGCGCGTGAGAATCTTTTATTTTGTTCTGCTATGGTTCTTCGCGTTTTATGGTGGGAAAAGGGGGAAGAATCCCCAAATCTGAGGGGGATTCATCAATTAACAGGGATTCTAAGAAGGCGAAAGGTGAACCGGTGGTGGATCTGGAGATGCAGGTCGAACCTCTGATTGTGGGCACAATGGAGGTTGAAGGGGGAAACAAATCTATTCTGATTGAGGTCGAAGGATCTGGAGCGGGTTTCGAAGCGGAGGAGGAAGTGAAGAGAGATCCTAGGAAGCTGGTCTCCTATAAGGATCAACTCCTTCGTGTCAATGGAGTTTGGGACGGTTGTCTTGAGAATGAAGAGGACGACTGGCTTGCGGAATCCAAAAGAGAGGAGCTCGAGGAAGAAAAGGCTACGAAGGCGTATGAGCAGAACGGGGAGGATGATCCTTTAAATCCGTTCTATCAGTTTGATGTGCTGGAGAAACTCGAACAATGCAAGCGATAGAGGAAGGCATTGATAGTCAAGCTTATGGGGAAGCGGCTAGGTGCAAAATTCTTGTGGAATAGGTTGCATAGGCTCTGGAACCTAGAAGGGGAGTATAGGGTTCTGGATCTGGAGAATGATCATATATGATCGAATTTGAAAAATCACAGGACTATCTCTTTGTTCAACAACAGGGGCTGTGGGTGGTGGCTGATCATTATCTCATAGTGCAGAGATGGAGGCCCAACTTTGATCCCTATGATGAGGGAGTAAGGAAGATGGCGGTTTGGATCAGAATGCCAGGGGTTCCTAGGGAGTTCTATACTCATAAAGACTTATGGAGAATGGGGAATATGGTGGGGAAAACCCTGAAGATTGACGAAAGTTCTCTCAGGATTAGTGGTCAAGGTCAACTTAAAGAGATCACTGATAGGGGAAGGTTTGCCCGAATTTGCGTGGAAATTGACTTGAGCAAAAACCTACTCTCAAAATTTAGAATAGGCCAAAGACAGTTGTATATTGGATATGAGGGACTTCATTTAGTATGCTTCCTATGTGGGCAATATGGGCATAGGAAGGATCAATGTCAGATGAATCCTGACAATTTGAAGAAGGTAGAGGAAGCTGCTGGAGGAGTGGACCACTGTAGTCATTCGAATCACAACCAGAATGAGGCTGAACCCAAGGAAGGAATTGAGAAAAGTCAAGAAGTAGATGGCTTTGGGAGCTGGATGACAATCCAGAGAAGAAATTTCAAAAGACCTGCTCAGTACCAAAAATCCAAGGAAGGCCCTGTGAGAAAGGAGAAGTCTAATCCAGAGGAGAATGGCATCCCAGCTAAGGATCGTGCCACTGGTTCTAGATTTGGTCCTTTGGAAGGTGAGTCAGAAGAGAGAGCTCTTAGAAGTAATGATAATGCTAATGTGGCTGACACGAGTAATAGCAAGATTCCTGGTGAATTGAGCCAACCAAAAAAAAGTCAGGGTGGGAAGAAAAAGAAGAATAGTACAGAGAATGAAGCCAAAGGTTTGGGGAAAAAACCAATTAGCTCAGTTCCTCAGGAGAACTCTAGGGGATCCACACAGAAGAAGCCTCTGAGGGAAGCTATTCTGATTGAAAGGGGAAGGAATAAAGGGAGTATGCAGGTTGAGACTGGTTCTGGAGCTAAAGTATCAACCAATAGTTCAGGAGTTGTTCTGTTACAGAGGAATGAGATGGAGATATCTAACCAAGCAGTCCCTGGTCATAAGGAAAATCCCCATGATGGAAGTAGTGCAGATTATGGTGTTTGTCTAGATGAGAGAGCTTATATGACTTTGGATGACATCACAAATGCCATGGGCATCAGTAACTAACCAATGGTTTGGTTAGCTAAGGTCAGGTTCTGTCACTTTTTGTATATAGCTTTCGTTTTGAATATTTGCTCTTGGAATTGTAGAGTAGTAGGGAAAAGAGAATTCCCTGCTCTAATTAGAGATATGAAATATAGGTTCAATATTAAAGTGTTGGCCTTATTAGAGACTAAGATTCAGGGTGATAGAAGGGATACAATTATACAGAAGTTGGGGTTTTCTAAGTTTTTCAAACAGGAAGTTGTGGGCTTTTCTGGAGGAATTTGGGTTTTGTGGGATAGCAGAGATGTTGAGGTGGAGATTATTCAATCTCACCATCAATATGTGCATACCAGAATTGTTTATATTGAAGATATGAGGTGAGAATTAGCTACTTTTGTTTATGGGGGCCCTATGAGGGTTGAGAGGATCAGATTATGGGAGGATTTGGAGTTGCTGGCTGGTGCTATTAATTCTCCCTGGGTGATCCTGGGAGACTTCAATTATGTACTGGGCCCTTCTGAGAAGTGTGGAGGTAAAGAGATTTATTGGAGAAGTGTTCAGGAGATGTATGATTGTCTTGAGGGCTGTGGAATGTCAGATATAGGGTTTAAAGGGCCAAGATTTACCTGGAAAAGGGGAAGTTTACAAGAAAGAATTGATAGAGCTGTTGCTAATGAGGATTGGAATTTAGCATGGCCTAATAGAGTGTTAGGGCATCTTCCTTTCTTCAACTCGGACCACAGGCCAATGCTGTTAAGTTGTTGCAATGATTTCTATGACAATAAGAGGGGGAAGCAATTTAAGTTCTTAGCTGCTTGGCTTACACATTCTGACTTTGGAAACTTGGTTAAGAAGTGTTGGGAGAAGGATGTGGATTGGTTGGATGCTAGGGATGGTTTTGAGGAAGAGGCAGTTAGATGGCACCATGACATTTTTAGGGAGGAAATGAGACAGAAGCATAGAATTTATGCTAGATTACAAGGTCTGAATTTGCAGTTGGAAGATAGATATGACAGAGAGCTTGAGAGGTTGCAGAGAGATCTTTGGAAAGATTTGGAGAAAATTCTGCTTAGAGAAGAGCTTAATTGGTTCCAAAGATCTAGAGTCAATTGGCTGAAATTTGGGGACAAAAACTCAAAGTTTTTTCATTCCTCTACTGTTGCTAGAAGAAAGGTTTAACAAAGTGGTTGCAATAAAAAATGAGCTTGGTGAGTGGACCTCAGATACAAAGGAGATGGTGGATGTAGCAGTGAATTATTTTGAAAAGTTATTTCATGCTGAAGATGATGGGTATGAGGGGTTCCCTATAAAGGGAATTTTTCCTAAGATGGAGGAGACAGATTTGAAGTATTTAGCCAGGGCTCCAGATGTAGAAGAGATCAGAAGAGTGGTGTTTAGAATGGGCAGATTTAAGGCTCTAGGCCCTAATGGATTGCATGCAGCTTTCTTTCAAACCCAATGGCATGTAGTTGGTAATTCTGTGTGTGATCTTGTCAAGGGTATATTTTAGGATCCAACTAAGGTGCATGCAATCAACAACGCATATTTGTTTGATTCCTAAGAAGGAAAACCCTGAGTGTATGAAAGAGTTCAGACCCATAAGCTTGTGTAATGTGACTTATAAAATTGTTACCAAGCTGATTGCTCTTAAGAAGTTGGATGCCTAATTGGGTTACTCCTAACCGGTGTGCGTTTGTAGAAGGAAGACAGGGTGCAAATAATATTATAGTGGCTCAGGAGATTATTCATTCAATGAAAAGGAGGAAAGGGAAACAGGGATGGATGATGATCAAAGTTGACTTGGAGAAAGCCTATGATAGACTGAGCTGAGAGTTCATCCATGAGACAATTAAAGATATGGGGCTGCCAAGTGAATTGATTTCTTTGATAGATGAATGTGTCAGGACAAGTGAGCTCAATATGTTGTGGAATGGGCAACCTACTAGGTACTTTTAAACCTTCCTGTGGAATAAGACAAGGGGATCCCTTATCCCCTTATCTTTTTGTTCTTTGTGTGGAAAGACTTGCGCAGTTAATCCAAGTTGCTATTGAGGTTAAAGCTTGGAAACTAATCTCTCTTGGGAAGAAGGGGCCTCCTATATCACACTTATTTTTTGCGGATGACATCATATTATGTGCTGAAGCTTCTCTTGATCAGGCACATATTATCAATCAGGTCCTTAAAGTGTTTGCATTGAGTTCTGGCCAGAGAGTGAGCAAGGACAAGACTAGAGTCTTTTTCTCTAAGAATGTGAATTTTAGCAGAGCTAAGGAGATTAGTGACTGCCTTGGAATTGGAATTACTCCAGATTTGGGAAAATACCTGGGAGTGATGCTAAATCACTCTAGAGTTTCTAGTACCTATTTTGGACATGTCTTGGATAGGGTGAAAAATAGACTGAGTGCTTGGAATGCTAAGTCATTATCTCTAGCTGGGAGACTGACCTTGGCAAAATCTGTGTTATTTGTTATGCCTACTTATGCCATGCAAACTGCTAGGCTACCAAAAAATGTTTGTGACAACATTGAGAAGCTTACTTGTGGGTTCATTTGGGGTTCTTCCAAGGAAAGGAGAGGAGTCCATCTTGTCAGCTGGGACAGAATGTGCTCTCCTAAGCAGTATGGTGGTGTTGGGTTGAGGGATTTACGGGCTTTCAATCAAGCTTTTATGATGAAAGTGGGCTATGGGTTGTTGGTGAACAAGGATGCTTTATGGGCCAGAATTCTGAGAAATAAATATAAACTGGAGGATGGAATCTTGCCTCATGCTTCAAAACAGGTTAATGCTAGTAATATATGGAGAGGCATCTGCTCTTCCTGGGAACACATTTTGGCAGGATCTAAAATTGTGATTGGTGATGGTAGGAAAGTGAAATTCTGGTGTGATAACTGGCTGCCTGGTCTGGGGAAGCTTCGAGAGAAAGCTATTAGACCTATTCCTGATGATGTTAGCTTATGGGATGTGGCTTGTTGTGTGAATCAAGAGGGGGACTAGGACTGGGACAAAATTAATTTTTTCCTTTCTGAAGAGGTTTGTGATATTATAGCCAAGATTGAGCCTCCAAAGGAGGAAGAGGGCGAGGATAGGATCATATAGCAACATTCTAGTAATGGTCTTTTTTCTGTGAAGTCAGCTTACTTGGCTATTAGAGATGAAAAGGCCAGTTTGCAAAATCAGAATCAGTATTGGAATTTGGCTTGGGATTGGAAGGGCCCTGAGAGGATCAAGCATTTCATTTGGCTTCTCTTAGGAGATAACCTGTTAACAAATGATAACAGAGTCCGAAGACACATGGGGGATGTTGCTCAATGCCCAAGATGCCTCTATCCGTGTGAAGACTGCTGTCATGTGATGAGAGACTGCTACTGGGCAAAACAAATTTGGAGAGGCCTAATTGCAAAATCCAGGTATAATTCTTTTTTCTCTGGAAGTTTCTTGGATTGGATGCAGTTTAATCTGTTAAAAAGGAGGAATAACACTCAAATTCAGAATTGGAGTCTCACCTTTGGTGTCACTTGCTGGATGTTGTGGAAATCTAGAAATGATTTAGTTTTTAAAAAGGTAGTGAGTAGTACTGATTCTATGTGTCATAAGATCAGAATGCATGTTCATAATGTACTTCATACTGAGGAAATGCTGGAAGTGGCTGATATTAATTTAAAACGAAGAGAAGATGTCTTTGACAAATGGAGGCCTCCTTTACAGGGTTGGATAAAAGTAAATTCTGATGGTGCTTGCTCTCTTGATGGAACACATAGTGGTTGTGGAGGGGTTTTGAGGAATAGTTATGGGAGATGGGTGTTGGGATATATGAAGAAGATGGGTCAAGGAAATGCTCTAAAGGCTGAGTTATGGGGAGCTTTAGTGGGTCTTCAAGTAGCTTGGGATCATGGATTCAGGCAGGTTCATCTTGAAGGTGATTCAACAGAAATGGTTCAATTGATTCTGGAAGGGAGTACATTCGATAATCTTTTGGTTCTTTGGTTGGCAAAATTCAAGCTTTGGTTGCTAGACCATGGAGAGTCATGATAACTCATATACACAGGGAAGGGAATGAAGTGGCCAATCGATTGGCTTCTATGGTGGATCACAGCTCTTGGGAGGTTGATATTATCCCTAATGTTCCCCTTAATTGTAGGTTGTTGGTAGAAAAGGACTTGCTGGGAGATCTTGATCATCCCACAGCCCTTAGGTAATCTGTAATTTCGTTTACTTTGCCTAATATTCAAAAATAAAATAAAAATGATGGTATTAAATATTTTCATAATACAGCAACATAGTGGAACCTTCGTCTTAACCATAAATTTCAGTATTCATTTATGAATCATGAACCAAATCCACCATGGATCGAAGTAGGATGTGGGTGGGCATGATAAAGTTGAACTACTGACAATATGTCTACAAAAAAAAAAAAAACTACTGACAATATATAAGAGGAAAATAATATCATTAATGCAAAATTAAAAATATATTGTTCAATCAATATAGATTTAAAATAATTTAATCAGCTATATAAAAGGGATGCATTACCAATAACATATAAGAGGAGTGCACAATTGCCACGTGACACCATCGGGTGAATTGCACTGAACCCATATGCAACTAATTATGTGGCACAATCTTGGTTGACGAAATAATTAATTTTTTAAATTTAGAAATGTTAATTTATTATCATTAACCATGACTTGATAATTGGTTATTATCATCAATCATTTAAGATTTTTTTTTTAATTTTTAATGACGAAATCATTCAAATTGTCATTTAGCTAGTATTTAAACTCTTTTGGCGAAAATGAAAAAAAATTAATTATCAATTTGTAATTGATGGTAACAAATTTGTAATTTGGAATAAATTTATATCCAACAATTATAAAACGATGCCATTTTTTGTTTGGAAACAAAAAATAAAGGACATTTTAGTAAGTTTACTTTTCTCTTGTGTCATGTAATTTTATTAAAAGGTTTAAATTTTTTAAAGTTATTTTTTTATACCTAATAAAGTGTATGGGAGTCTGAGACCCATATTTTTTTTTTATCTCTTTTCTTCACATGAGTCCGAATAGACCCCACATATTTTTGTGTGTATGATTTTCTGAAAATTAAATAAAGTTATCTAAGTTAACTTTAGAAACTTTAAATCCTTTATTAAAATACTTTTTTTTTTCAAACCCCTCAAAATGACATTGTTTTATATTACATGAGATAAGTTTATGGGTTCACTTTTTCTACAGTTAATGTAGATAACTTATCTACATTGAACTCAAAACGATATCGTTTTGAGGCAAAAATCAAAGTATTTTTGTAATTATAGTTTTATTTCAGAGTTATAATAGTCTTTTTCATTATAAATTTTTAATTTTTCAACCCAAAATGACGTCATTTTAGAAGAAAATGTAGATGACTTATTTACATTCACTTTAGAAACATTAAAGCCTAAGTTTATTTGATATTACAAAAGAAACATTAAACCCTTATTATTTAACTAAAAAAATTTTCTGACGCTAATTAATACTTTAGGTAAAGCGAAGGAATAAATATGTGTGGTAATGAAAATTGGGACACAAGACCATAATGTGAGGCTATTTGACCATTGTTTCCATTTTGAGCAAAATAAGTACCACTTGCCACTGTTCCAAAATATTTTATCAATCTACCTTTGTTTGATTGTTGACTGGCCCATATATTCGAGTACATAACCTTATACTCGAGTATATTTCGTATTCTGGGAGTTTTGGAACATTTACTCGAGTATAGGACCCAGATACTCGAGTATTTGTTGTTCCACGCAATATACTCGAGTATATGGGTCAATACTCGAGTAAATGTTCAAAAAAATTTCTTTGAGAATTTTCCAACATGTAGCTCTTGAATAGTTATGTGGAATAAAAAAAAATCACGTGATTCGGACACTCGAATCAAAAGTTATTGCTTTTTGAAATTTTACTCTAAAATTTCCAAAATTTTGTAAGTCAATAGGTTTTGTGATACCCACAAAGCTCCCCCTCAGGTTACCCGAGTCAAGTCCACAATATTATGAGTATATGATTATAGAAACTTGTTTGATCTAAAAAATCTCGTGAATTTTTTTTTCCACGAGCTTATGTACTTGAGTCAATTTTAAAAAAACCTCATAATACGAAACATACTGAGTATAAGGTCATGTACTCAAGTATATGGGACAGTCAATGATCAAATAAGGACAATTGATGAAATGTTATGGAACAGAGGCAAAGTGGTACTTATTTTGATAAAAAAGGACACAATAATCAAAAAGCCTATAATGTGACGAGTTATATATGAGGTATAGGGTGGATTGTGCCACTTGGCAATTGCGCACCATTTATACAAAATTAATTACACATCCCTCCTATATGTAAATGATTGTATTATCTCGGGAAACAATTTGAAATAAGCATTAATCGAGTGATTATATAAAAATCTTTTTGCCATATACAAAAATCTTTCTTATATTTTGAGGGATGAGATATTGTAACAATCAATTAGTGTTATTATCAATGTTACTATCAATCAATTTCACCGTTAGATCGATTATGTTGATCCAACAGTTATATTTATTTCCATCTTTGTATGGTTATGATTTTCCATATTTAAAGTGAAAGCAGTAAATATGAAAAATCATGACCATACAAAGGTGAAAATAAATATAAAATATAAAATATGGGGAATCATGACCATACAAATATGGAAATAAATATAACCGTTGGATCCACATAATCGATCTAACGATGAAATTAATTGGTAGTAACATTAGTAGTAACATTAATTAGTTGTTACAATATCCTTCCCCATATTTTGATGTTAATGTTGATATATGTATGATATTAATGTTTATCATATTATAAGAGATATCTCCTCTATATATATAAAAATACGTAGAGTTCATTTTGAGTGATTACATAAAAATATTTCTTATATTTTGATGTTAATGTTGATATATGTATGATATTAATATTTCTTCTCATATTATAAAAGATAAGTTTATCTCCTCTACATATATAAAAATACGTAGAGTTCGTTTTTTCTCTCTCTGTTCTTTTTACATAATCTTATATGGTTCCACATGTATGTAGCAGATACAATTATCTCTTACAAGATGACAAACATTTTTTTTTTAAGATATTTCAATCGATTCATTGCTTCACGACTAATCTAATTCCGGAAAAATCTCGAGATTAAAATTTTAAAGCCATCCAAAAAACAATACTAAAAGAATCAAATATATATTCTCAACCACCTATCTTCGCCAGCTAAACTATCTTAACAATGAGAAACATTGGTAAAGATGAGAAACATGAATGGTTATATGTATGTATATGCATTTTCTATACTATGTATGATATAAAAGAAGGAATTTGGGGATGATAAAGCAAAGCAAGTATAGTATCCGAAATAGTTGCTTCATTTTCTTCTTCTTTTTATCGTTTGTCCTCTAGTCACCCAATCTTTTTGTCTCTTTCTCTCTCTCTCCCTCTCCCTGACATAGCAGAGCAGAGAGCGAGCGAGGAAGAAGAACAAGAGCTATTGACCCACCCAGCACCTACAACACCGTTACTGTTAGTTATTAGTTATTTATTTTCAACAATCTTCAAATCCCATTCTTTCTTTTACTCTTTTTTTCATTTTCATTTTCATTTTCATTTTCATTATCAAACCCCCCCAAACCCAAACCCTAGCCCCCCGTTTCGTTCTTCTTCGTTATTGGCAAATGCCGCATATCGTTTGATTCGATTCCTCTACGGAGTTTCGCCTTCGCAGGTCACTCACTCATTCTATCATCATCGATTTTTTCTTTCTTTTTTTTTAATTCGAATTTATTGGAATTTTGTTTTCTTTGATTTTTTTAGAGTTAGGGTTAGGGAATTGACTCGTATGGAAGGGAACACGAACGCTGACATGTTCAGAGCTTCTCTGGGAGCGGGAGCATCGTCATCGCCGTCGTCTTCTTCTTCTAATTCAAGAAGATACGGAATTTTATCTGCGTCCAACATTATTCAGGCACCGTTATCGGCGTTGTTGGAGTATTCCGGTATTCTTACCACCACCACAGCCGCCGCCGCTGCCAGGTCTAATCGCCACCAACCTAACCCTGATGCCGCCCCCAATGACGGTGAGGTCTCCATTAGGATCATTGGGCCGGCGGAACACGACCATCATAATAGAGAGGAACAACCACAACCTCCTTCTGGTGGTGGTGGTGGTTTGGTGGTGGGACTTTCCCATTCCCAGAATGATGCCGCGTTGCTCTCTTCCTCTCCTCAGGGAGATGTAGAAGGTGTTTCACAGATGGGAAATGGAAATGGAAATGAAAATGTTGACGCTGAAGCTGGTGGCGATGGAGTTGGGCCCAATGGGAGGGATTCTTCCTACCAGAGATATGATATTCAGCATGCAGCCAGGTGGATTGAGCAGGTCTTGCCTTTTTCTTTGCTTCTCTTGGTGGTCTTCATCCGGCAGCATTTGCAAGGTGCTTTATCCATTCCCAACTTCAGCTGATAAAGAAAACGACTTGTTTTTGGTTCTTTTTGTTTTAGAAGCTAGATTTTTTTTCCTTTTTTGGTGACACACAAGCCCATCCAAAGGGGTTGTTTAGTTGATTAGCTCATTCCTTTTAATTCTTTGTTCTTCAAGTTTGGTGATTTTTGGAGATGTTTAAGTTATTGCAGGCTTTTTTGTTACAATTTGGATTGCTGCTGTCCTTTTCAAGTCAAATGACATTCTACGGAAACAAACAGCCCTGAAGGTGTGACAGTTCATAGTTTTGTATCTCTTTTACATGGGATGTTGAAAAACAATCTGTTGTTGTCAATTTATAAAAATTGTGTTGTTTATTATGTCTGTCTGTTTTTGGGGGCTGCAGGGAGAGAGAAAAATACCTATTCTGATTGGAATTTCTGTTGCATTCGCACTTCACGTGGTTGGTGTTTATTGGTGGTATCAGAATGATGATCTTGTGTATCCGTTGGTCATGCTTCCTCCCAAAGATATACCACCTTTCTGGCATGCTATCTTCATCATCATGGTGAATGGTGTGTTTCTCCCACCTAATGACTGGCTAGGTTTCTCACTGCATGATACTTGTATTTCGTTGTGGAAAATGTTAATCTCATGCTATTTTTCTCTTAACTTGCAATTGACTTGGTGCTGAGTGTATTCATGAAAAATAGTTCAAATGTATCTTACGTTTTCCTTTCTAAGCATCTCTCCAATATACATTCAAAGTCACAATTGGAAGTTGCTTTCATGAGTGCTCATGTTATTTCGTGTCTCAGAATAATTTATTCTAATAAGGGTGGCAGAGAGGTTTAAAAGTATGGAGATAACTTTTATCTTTTGTCCATGTTTTTCTAGAAGCATGATTTGTGCTTCTTTTTAATTCATTTCTGTTTGTATGTTGTTCAACTGATATATGTATGCATTACCCTTTTAGCATGGAACTACATTTGTGATGGAAACACTTGTTTCAGATTATGAATTTATTTGGCTGAAACTCATTGGGGAGATTAATCTCATTCACTTGCAATTGTGTTTTAAAATTTCAGATACTTTGGTCCGCCAGGCTGCAATGGTATTCAAGTGTATATTGTTAATGTATTACAAGAACAGCAGAGGCCGAAATTATCGTAAGCAGGTGAGGTAATAAATTATAAAGCACTATAGAAATTTAAGCTGAGCGTTTTATGTTTTGGGGAGTAGAGGAACATTTTAAGATGGCTTGTTTCTTCTTTTAAAGTTATATTGGGACCGACATGCCTCTGTTGTAAGATTTCCAAGAATTTTTGGTTCAGGATATATATTACTCTTTCGCATTTGGTTACATTCTGAATGTGCTATCATTTATTCGTCAGGGGCAAATGCTGACTTTAGTTGAATACCTCCTCCTGCTTTACCGTGCATTGTTGCCAACACCGGTTTGGTATCGTTTCTTCCTGAACAAAGAATATGGAAGCCTCTTTTCATCACTGATGACAGGATTGTATCTAACATTTAAGCTCACATCTGTTGTTGAAAAGGTGCGTTAGTCTTTTAAAATAGACGTAGATTCTATTTTGTTTGAATGTAGCTTGCTAAGACTAACCTCCTTGTTTCTCTCACTCCCCTAAATCATTCACACTAATATCTAAAATTGGTCTCTTCAACCCGTTGTATTATCTGCTGGTCATGCAACTGTAATGTTCTTCATTTTGTGCACAATTCCATTTTGTAAACCTTTTTTCTTTACTAACTTTCTTTCTTTGTTTTCAACTAACAACTATGAAACTAGTTCAGTTATTTTGCTTCTCATTTTTTTTTTGGATGTTTCACGCTGAAAATATGTCATGTTTGTAGAAATAAGTCCTTTTATTAAAGCTAAAAATTTCAGCTACAGGAAAAAAGGATGAAATTATCTCTCTCTTGTTTTTTGTTCAGAATCTTAATTTTTCAACTTCCAAATGTTTTCCAAGTTTCAGGAAATAAAGAGCTTTTTCCAATAAAGTGAGAAGTTTGGAAGAACTTTTTCTGTTTTGTTGTCTGTTAATTTAGTAGTTGTTTTAGTTATTCGTGAGAAATTCCTAAAGAAACCAAACTATAATGGAGTCATTTAGCTTGGACATAATGAAGTACTCCTTAGTTTGTGGTTTTAAACTATCTGTGTATTGCATGGGTTTGCATCTGGTGGTTCTCTTATCTGTGTGTGGTTTTCAGGTGCAATCATTCTTTGCTGCAGTGAAGGCATTGTCGCGAAAAGAAGTGCACTATGGGGCTTATGCAACATCAGAGCAGGTACTGTGGGTGCCTTCTTTTGATCATTGATTATAAAGTTCCAATGTTTCCATTTTTACTGCAAATTACTGTTTTGGTAGTTACATAATTTTCCCCCCCAGGGGACATTGGTTAGTGTGATCATCTATACTATTATAGAGAGGGAGTTTCCTCACTTGGTCTTCAGTATGCACTCTTCTAAAAGTCCCTAATGTTGTTGTTAACTACAACTAAAAAGTGAGCAAATTGTCATTTCAAATTAGCTACAAAGGCCCGTAACTTATGTACAGTTGTACACTTTCTACTTTTTTGGAACATCTAATTATTTTTCTAACAATTGCAGTTTTTAAGTCATTTTAATTAATACTTTTTTGAAAAGGAAAACTGTGTGACATCGTCATATAAGGATTTTTTTTTTTTTGGGGCTTTGTACTTCCATTGTGGGTGCCTCTTTGAGTCTGGTTAAAGTACACTTCATTCAACATTATAAACCTCTTAACATAAGCAATTTATGAAACCTTAATTGTAGCTCGGTTGAGGAAGGGATTCTTTTCTTGACTACTGGTTGTTCATTTATTTGACTTACTATTGGACTGCCAATTACCAGGTTACTGAATAGAAGGATGAATTATCGTTGTAACTATCAAATGAGTCAAAGAAATGTTTTCATTATGTCTAATAGCCGTAGGCTTAAGAGATAGTCAGTTGCTTTTGAAGTTTTGGGGTCCAGTTGATTAAGAGATCGGAGTTTTAGACTCATACCCCACTTCAGTCTATTCTTAAGTACTTTATAGCCTGCTATATGCATGTCTGAGAGCAGCAAGTTAAGCAATTTATCTGATGGCAGGTCAATGCAGCTGGTGATCTTTGTGCTATTTGTCAGGAGAAGATGCATGCCCCAATCTTACTTCGATGCAAGCACATTTTCTGTGAAGACTGCGTATCAGAGTGGTGAGACTTTGGTGTTGTATTACGTTTGTGAATTTGTAATCTTGTGGTTTTCAAATGTAGTTATTGGTTGCTTCATATTTGTCTGCTATAAAATGTATGTTATGCTATTTTCATTTATTTTAGTATTGAGGTTAGCAGGTCTTGTATTGCTTTCTTTTTGCTACTATATCTTTTCTTTCTTCTGTTTTCTGGCTCCTGATTATCTTATTTTGCCAGGTTTGAGAGGGAAAGGACCTGCCCATTGTGCAGGGCTTTGGTAAAGCCTGCAGACCTCAGGTCCTTTGGTGATGGCTCTACTAGTTTGTTTTTCCAGCTATTCTGAAATCTTATCATACAAGCCAGGAAGTTTTTTCTGCTTTGAAGCTTTACTTTTTCGAAGCAGCAGTCCTGATCTACATACGTCAACACATGTAAAATTCACCGGAGGCATTCGCGGGGACACTCTGAGAAGATGAATGCAGCTAAATATAATTAAACTGGTCAACTATTCATATAATGTACTAGCAAGAGGTTAAGTGTATCTAAATGATCCTGTAAACTAGGAAGTTGATTGAAAATATAATTAAATGTGACTCTTCATTTACAAGGAATGAAGGTCGCTTTTGCCTAATTGCACAGGAAGTCTATGATGTCATATATCATGAATCAAAGCAATTTTAACCATTTTTCATATTCGAATTTATTTAAATGTGGTTTTTGAAACACACCCACAGGGAGCGTTGCTCCATGGGAAGGTTATGGTTCATGTAATAAATCTGTGGGTACTAGTTTCATTTATGCGATGTGATGGTTAATTTGACCAAGATTATGTGATGGAAATTCTCGCGGATGATCTTGGATTTTCACAAGAAAAGAAAGCAAGCTTTCATCTTTAATTTGTTCGAGCCTAGTTATAATTAGATTAATGAAACAATCTGGATTTTCGAGAAAATCTTTATTAGATGTCAAGGATATGTCTTAATATTACAATCAACTCCAACCGTCAATTTTAAGCATGAAAGTGATTTACATATTTTACATTAGGATGTAATACTAAGTTAAGTTCAGTTAAGTTCAATTCTTGTCTGTCTTATTCTGATAAAGAAGAAAGTAATGAATTTATTTGGAATTGTTAAAAATGCTTTATGTAATAATTTGCTGCAGTGGATCATGATTTAAACTGTTATCATGTTTCGAACAATGTACGAGTCTAGAAATGAGTTGGCTTATAACTAACTATGTTGTGACCATCTCACTTCTACTAATGCATTGTTTCTTTACTTTGGAGTATTTTATGTGAGCATATACACTTGACCCTGTTTTCCCCCAGGGGATAAATTGAGTTGACATTTGATGAGAAGTATGATAATTCACCTTTCTTATTCTTTAGAGCATATAAAATGTTAAATGAAGTTGTCATATTAGGAATAGTCCAGATCCAATAAATTGTTATCGTTCAATAATTTTAAAATAACAAATATGTGTTTTTACTCTCTTCCTCACATTGCAGAAAGGTAGAAGAAATGAATAAATGTTACAAAGCATGCATATTTTCCTCGAAACAAGACAACCTCATCTAAGGCTAAGCTATGAAGGAAAAAAAGAAGATTATTTTGCATGGTTGGAAACAGAGATACTAGGAGGAGCCTCATCTTCTCTTGTTGTACTCTTAAGTTTCTTATCATCTTCTTTTGGCACAGGATACATTTCTCTTGTCAGCATAGGTGGTGGACTTGATGACTGCACAACAACCTCATCCGGCGGTGGTGGTGATGATGATGAGCGTGGGGAGATTGATAGCAAACGGGATATCCCACTGCCATCCATAGGGTAAACTTCTGAGACTTCTTCCATGCCCTCATCCAGATACACCACATCCTGCATAGTCAACTGATGGTATTCCACTATTTCCCTTAGGAAACGGTTTTCCCTAGAATATATCTCATTCTCATTTGCCAAACGAGCCTTTTCAGCCAGAAGTGTCTCCAGTTGATGCCGGATCTGATGAGACCACAAATATATAATAACTAAATTCTTTAACAACAGTGAACTTTGTTTTGTTTTACTCTCTAATGAGCTACTCTTACATGCAAAACACAATGCTATGAACCTGACATAAAGGTCCACAGATTAAGGAAAGATTCCTTAATTATATTAATACTAGTGCGACAGTAATGGATTAAGCATTGAACCCCAAAAAATTTATCAAACGTCTAAAATTTCACTGTACCCATGTAAACTCTATAAATAAAAGATAAAGTCTATAGGTACGCACACTTCTGAACCCTCTCTCTTAGCTGTTATTGTGCACACTCTCCATCCCCTGTCTATGCCGTTATCATATTGTACAGTGATCCGCTATTCTCTAAGATATCTCCCTCCATAGATACTTAAGAAAGGGCACCTAGATCCTATAGAAAAGTACCAATTTCTGATTGGATGTCTCGATCCTTCTAAGATTGAACACACAACAACACAAAGTAGTCCGGTACATTCTATACATTCATCTGCATACATACATACATTATGCTTCAAAAGAGAATATATCCATGATATGCTTAATACTACAAAACACCACATCACTTAACAAGACACTTCAAATATTGTTTTGTCCATGTCAGTGCTTCTTAGGCATCTAATTAAGCACAAGCTTGAAATAGGGAAAGAGAAAACTAAATTAATACCAGATCATCATCCTCACGGTTATGTCCCTTCTGGTTCTGGCTACCCTCTCGGTCCCGGAGTAATTTATTTTCTTCTTCGAGTTGAGCACACCGTGCTTTAGCAAAAGCCAAATCTGCTTTAACGGTTTTTAGCTCTCTAAGAAGTAATTTTGCTTTGGCAGCTGTTGCCATTGCCACCTGCAAAGGGAAATCGTGCTCAAACATCTAATTCAAATAAACAACCATCACAAATTCAACTTTATGTTCACAGTTACAATCAGAAGCAGAAGTTTAAACTGAGTTTCCTGCATCTAAAATATGTATGAATGCCTACAGGTTTTGCAGTGAGTGAAGTCTTAGAGATGGAGCCGTTAATTATCCAGCTGTTGTTATATTAATGCCTTTCTTCAAAACTTGATAAAATTTTGATGGTCCAATATATGTGCTATTGTGGACTGAGTTTAAATTAATCTTATGACATGGAACTAAGAACACACTTTAAAACCACTCCCCGTAGAATCCCGACTAGCGAGGATAGGGAGTGAGGTTAATCCTTATACGCAGCCTTATCCTTACATATTTGCAAAGAGGCTGTTTCCCATATTTGAATCCGTGATCTTTCGGTCACAAAAAAACAACTTTACTATTGCTCCAAGCTCACCCTTTTTGACTAAGAACACACTTTACTAACATAAAATCTGTGAACAACTCCAATGTTATGTTAAGACATTCTATGCCTTCACTACATTAACCAGTGAGGCATCGATACACGATTACATAGTTGCCACCTTACGTCGCGAGATGCCTTGAGTTGTGTTTCACGGGTGGATAGATTCTGTGTCTGAGCTGATTGCTGCCATGGATTCCTCACATCTGAAGCTTGGTTTGTGTCCTCAGGGCCATTTCCTTTTCTCCAGATTTGAGTTCTCAGGTCAGCTATCTTACTCTCCACCATTGTTCGGCCTTCCTGAAGAAATTAGAGAAGCAGCATTGATGGAAGAAAGTGATAATATTAATTAAGCCAGGAGTGAGCGAGCTAGCAAACATAGCAAAGTAACTAATAAAATTGCAATGTCTGCTTATACTCCTGCCTGAGATATGAATATCTGATGTACTGTTGAAACATGGAATCCAGAGAAACTCATCAACAGTTATATATTGTGTTTAACTCTGTCATTTGCATAACAAAATTTTCACACCATTTTTACTCTGGCATACATTGACTAAATTATCGGTTAACAAGAAGTATAGATTGGTTAAGGGACTAGTAATCGGTTACCAATTTTGTAGTAATTGATTATTGATACATCAAGATGCCATCCATATTGCAGCAAATGCAAATCCCGTATTTCATGAATGTACCAAGTATGTTGAGCTGAACTTCTTGTTTAAGGACATTACTACAGCCTACCTTCGTACTAATGAACGACCAGTTGATGTTTTCACCAAAGCTTTGGGTCGTGCTTATTTCCATCATGTTCTCTCCAAGTTGGGTATTTCATGTCTGCATGCTCCAACAGTGGCGGAGCCAAAAGAAAAACCCAGCCAGTACTAAAAGACCCAACCAGGTAGAATTTAGCCAGTGTCAAGGTTGTATTAATTTAAAAATTCAACCAATGGTAAGACCGTACCATATCTTTAAAGAAAATCTGTACCAGTTTTAAAAATTAGCTTGTGCCAAGGCTCCAACTGACTACCAAGTGGCTCCGCCATTGCTCGAACTTGAAGGGGGAGTATTACAGTACTAAATCTCTATCTAGTTTCCTATCAGTTTGTTATAGCTTATATTTTATTATTTTACATTTTGAATATGTACAGATAAGATCATTTAGCTTTTTCATAGTGTTTGTTTTGTAGTTTGTTACGTAGGCTATATCTCTTAAGTTTATTTCACGTTACTTTTGGTTGACATCCTTTTTGTAAGCTTATGTAACAGCTTCCCTCTATTAAAGAGGAAGGCAGCCAATTAATGTATATCGATGAAATTGTTTGGTACCAAACTTATTATCCAAGCCCTTACGAAATGTAGGATTGTCCATTTTTCTATTAGTCAAGGGGTTGATATAATGACTTGAATTGTGAAGAGAAATTCTAAGCATGCCAAAGAAAAAAAAAAGGAAAAAGAACACACACAATTAAGTTGTTTCTGATTCAACTGATAGAGTAAATGACAGACAGATATTTATTGTAGAAAATCAAGAGTCACAGTTTTATACTTCATGTAATTATTTACATTAAATAATTTTAATGACCACCATATCATATCATATCCTATCCTATCCCTGCATGCATGCATCAAAATAAGAAAAAGAGAACAAGAGTTGCATTATATACATGGGATTAATGTTTCTTATGTTGTATGAAATAATTTTATCTGCTAGGTAGACCCATGTTATCTTTTTATCTTTCTTCTCTTCACATGACCCAACATACTTTTACGTGTGTGTAGGAGATAAAATTATCTCCTAAGAAACAATAATCTCTATATCTATATATGATAATCACCTGAGCTGCAGAAGGACCTGTAAAGGTATTAAATGAGCGTGATTTGAGTGTTTGAGGGATGGTATCTTCTTGTGGGGTTGGATTGTCATCGTCCAGAATTGATCTGGCTTTCTGAGCCAGGACACCCCAGAAACCGGACTTGGAGGAGTCGCCATTTTCATAAGCCTCCAAACTCTACATGCATCCATGCATGCATTCATCATATATAAATATAAACACAATGGTTTTTTTTTCTTCTTCTTAATTAAATGAAGACATAATAATGAGCATTCAATAATAATACCTTGGATCTTTGATGATCAGAGTCAGAGGAAGGGGTGAAAGAAAAAGCAAGAGATGGTTGATGCCTAGCAGCAGAGGCTTTGATGGCTTGAGCAGCAAGTGATGGTGAAGATAAAGAGAGGGAAGGTAGGGACACATTTTCATGATCAGAATCCTTAACATTATCCAATGATTCATGAAATTCTTCCTTGAAGGTGGAAGCCCTTGATATACCTTGTCTTCTTCTGTATGCCATGCTATTCCTACCACAACCTGCGAGATTACAAAAACCAGGAACGAAACCTCTGATTCAGATTCAACTGCCACAACCAACTCTTTCCCTTTTTTTTTCTTCTGGTCATGGAATGAAATATCAACCAAAAATGAATATGTAATAAAGTAAATATATAAATATAATAATTTCTTTTTAACCCAACCCTAATTAACTCAAGAATTGGCTTCTTCGATATTTTTACAAGCTTCAACTCTTTAAGTCGGTTATGAGACTAATTCGGAGTGCGGGGTGGGTCAGAGATGATGAAGATATTTAAACTCCTCCCAAAAGTGATATGTGGGGATCAAACCGCCTTAAAGGAGGGGTTTAAAACCCTTAATTCTGGACCCTCTCCGAACAGGATTGACCTGCCTCGAGCAGGATTGACTCTTTTGAAGAATACATGTGGTTTAACCAAAAAAAAATTCTTGCTAATGACCAATCACATAGGCACAAAGATGTAAACGAACTAGGCTGGCCTACAGGGGCCTATGACGCCTATATTAGAATAGACTTGTCCTATTACAAATAGTCAAATAGAATATATTTAGACTTTTAAAAAAACCTATTTAGAAAGCAGACCATAGATATTTTTTCATATATAAGCATACATGTTGGCCTATATCATATTATTTATTTTAAATAAAATAAATAAAATTATTATTTCATTAATTTTGAATAATAAAGTAATATTATTTTAGTTATTTTTTAAATATTGAATGTTTAATAGCCTTAAACAGAATAACAGACCTAAACCAAATTTTTTATTTTTTAAATATAGATAAAGTCCAGACTTATAATTTGGACCTATATAAAGTAACAATTCATGTAAAACATACATTTTTTAGGTACGTCTAATAGGTGAGGCCTATTTACACTCTTACGTAGGCATATCTACGCAAAGCATAACATTTCATGCTAATCAGCGGTGTCTCCATTTTGTTTTTTTTTGTACATATTTGACGAGAACACAATATCCTGATAGGAGTAATTATTCGTATCAAAATCTTAAATATTAAGATTATTTGAGCTGACATGATACAAATAATTTATCAATATTACTTTTCAAATTAAATTTACTTAAATTACCTCAAATTATCAAATAAAAATGGAATAAATTAGAATAAATATGTAATTATAAAATTATTTAATTTAAACGGATCAATTGTTGATTGATACGAACGCACGGATTTTTTTTAATCACTTTTTGATCAATACGAGCACACAAATTTTATTGAAAATTATTATCCATAATAATAATAATTTATAAAAAGGTTGTACTCATTTCCCCCAATTATCCACCGTAGTTGTAGCAATTTAGTTATTTTTTTCAATTGCTTCCTTGCGTGTTGCTATGCTTTCTCTTTCCACCAATGCTGGTTATCTGTACTTATGTGGGTGGTTTAGAGAGAAAGAGAGTAAGAGAACTGAAAATTGAAGTAGTTAACAATGAACTCGTTTCTAAAAATAGTATTTTGGTTTTTAGAAGAAAAAAAATTTGTTTGATAGGGTCTATTTTGTTAAAAAAAAATTAAAAATTGTAAATTTTTTTTTTTTATAGAAAATTTAGAGAACATGTCTTAGTTGTTTTTATTTTTATTTTGTGTTTTATATTTAAAAAATACATGTGTGGTGTGATTTTAAGATGTTGATTAGTCTTAGTGATAAGTATTAGTGTTGTCACCAAGGAAGTACAGACAGTTGTAAAAATAGGAAGAGTCGTGTCCGACACGCTCCGACACGGCGACACGCTCCGACACGGTGTCGGACACGCGGTCAACTTTTTCCGACACGTTGACCATTTCGACACGCGAATTTGACCGTGTCCGACACAATCAAATGGCATTTTCGTAATTTTTTTTTTAAAAAAAATTTTAATTTTTTTTTACTTTTTAAATTTTTTTTTTAAAAAAAAAATCAAAATATATTAATAAAGCTTCCACCTGATCATATCAATGTTATTTTTTGTCTTTTTTCTCCTTAAGTAGATAAGATATCATCTCAGCATCATTCATTGTTGTCAATTCTTATTATGCTCTTGTTGTATCTCCTTCTCTCCGATCTCTCTCTAATATGATTTGATCTCTCTATCTGATATTATATCTCTCTCATCTCAGTTCTTATTTTTTATTAAAGCTTCCATCTTTATAATGTGTTGATGGGTATTATTAATTTAGTTTCATTTTTTTGTTAAATTATTAAATCTTAAATGAAATATACACTATATAAATTAAAAATATTATTTAATATTAAAACGTGTTCCAACGTGTTGAAATTCATAATTTTTTAAGATTGACGTGTCGGAGTGTCGTGTCACGTGTCGTATCGGTGCTACATAGGTTGTTGGAATGTGCATGAGTCGAATTGAACTGAATTTTTTAAAAAACTGAACTGAATTAGTTGAAATGATTCGGTTCGAAACTTATTTGGACCAAATCTATTCTGAAAAAATAAAAAAAAATAAAAATAAAGTAATAAAACGGTTCAATTCGATTCGAAAACGATAACTTGTTTTAAAAAATCAGTTTGGTTCTTGAAGTAATTTTTTAAAAATTAATTCGATTCATGAATTGATTTTCAAGAATCAATTATTTTAAGTGCAGTTCGGTTCAATTCAAAGTTCAATTCAATTTTTTTGATTCTTTTACATACTCCTTATTGGTAGGTTAGAGGTTCAATTCTGATTGCACACACAAGGTAAGGTTGGCAACAATAGATGCATATAATATAAGGGTTTCTTACTTCGGCAGCAATAATAGATGAGAAATTTTGCAATAAATATATTTACACATGCGAATCCTCGCATTTAAAAATAAAAATAAAAATCTCGGATTCTAAGTCTATGTATTGCTACAAAATTTCTAATCAACATAAAAAGTATATTTGCCATAATATAATGTGTCTTATTTTCTTTCGTTGCAAAAAGGGTTGAAGCTAGTGGCGAAATCAGTCTCCTACCACCGTATCTTTCATAAAAATAGTAAGTACATCTCTATACTCCTCACTTGCATGTTCAGAAAATTCAATGTAAGACCCCCTTGCCTAAACTTTAAAGGCTGTTGTTGCACAGTAATAAGGGACTAGAATTTAACCCACCATATGAAGGTATATATATTTTTGTTAAAGCCCTGGTGTTGAATCGAGAAGAGCAACTTGGTGAAATTGGAGAAGAGCAACTAGGTAAAGTGGTGGAACTGCTCTCACTTCTTGAATGTTACGGTTGGTTCTATATGTGGAGTCTTTGAGCTGTACAAACTTTGTGTTTGTAATTGCATGGTGTTAAGTTACAAAATATTATGCTTGCTTTTGAAATTTATGTGGTTAATAGAATGGTGATGACATGCATGTATCAAGAATTGCGATGATGTCTTGAATGTGATGTGAATTGTTGACTTTGAACAGAATTATCACTCAAGAATTTCGTGAGGTGTCATGGGTATGCTGGTATTGACTGCATAAGAACTTAGAATGAAATGAATTTCTGCTTTTGGCTTCCCTCAAACTGTGACTCGAGTAAGTAAGATTTTTGGTTAGTGTGTTGAGTAGTAATATAATACCATGAAAGGATTAAGGCCATTCCAGGTAAACAACTCATCTGATAATGGATACAATTGCTTGTAAATTCACGATGAATTATGGAGTGCAATGTTTATGGACTCTTGCATAATATATTCTTGAAGAAGGTTGATCCTTACTAGAAGAAAAGGGACTTTGGTGCTGTTCTGTCCTAAAGACAGATATGTTTAGCCCAAAAGACTAGTAAGTTTATCTTGGATCTAGGTGCTGTCTCTTAGATATCTATGAATTAGATACCTTTGAGTATAACAGAACACTATGCACAAATAGTAACGGCTTTTGCCAAAGGGGTGGTGTGTGTCCACAATGACAGCATAGCAGTAAAGAGAGAGAATGAATCATACTTGAATGTTTTACCTCTTATTTATAGAGTTTACCTGTGGATATTGGAATTATAGACCTTTTGTGTCTCTTTTAGAAGCCCAAGCCCAAATCCGATGTTGTCGTATTAAGATTAATATCTTGGATTAATATTCTCCTTTGGTTATATTAGATTCTTATTTTTATTGCACCTTATTGGGCTGTATATTAGATGAGCATCGTATATGAGTTCATAACAGGTGCCAAACGGAAAATGGATATAAATATACAATTGTCACACAATGGGACGCCTATCGGACTTGCTTATTGAGCTCAATGCACAGTACTTACTTTTGACAATTGGGGCACATTGATAAATTGGAAGTTATACTATAATTATATAAGTGTACACATGTATATGTTTTATTGGCAGCGAAGTGTTCTGATGTAAATTTGTGATTCTGATTTTGTAAATCAATGTTATGTAATTGCATGTCGTGATTCCATTCCTTGATAGCCGATTCATGGAAAGGTTAGAAGTTCTTCACTTTGTTGGAGTGCAAGTCTCCCCCCTGTTGGGGCTAACATTTCAGGATTTGGTAGCAAGGAAGCTGATCAAGGCCGAAGGAGTACCAACTAAATTAAATTTGGCTGTTTAGTTGTTTTGGTGCAATTATGTTCTACTTTGATCATTCAAGTTGAGAAGTGATGACTTGTGAATTTTGTGGTGGAGTAGTTGGTTCACAACTTATGTTATGTATATTTTGTATGTTAGTTAATTATGTAAGAACACTGGAATTATCATAGTAATGACTTGTAATGGAAAGTACCATTTGCTTATGGATTAGATTGTGCTTTTGGTTGTGGATATAAGTCATGAATGTAGTATTGTATGGGTTAGTAATCTAAGACTTGTTCCTTATGTGTCTATGTAAATTAAAAAAAAAAAAATGTATGTGTTTGATTAAGCTTATTAATGTCAAGCAAGTGGCCAAGTGAACTTTAGAATAAAGGAATTTATGGGGTTCTAGTTTTTTTGCAGTTGTTTAGAGTCTGTTTTTATAGAAAGGAATTGAGCCTAAGAAGCCTCACTCCAAAATTCTATAAATTGGAGAAATTTTTCTGCTTTTGTTAATTGGACAGGACAGCCAACTTAGAAAAGTTTTATCTCACTAACCACTTATCCAAAAATAATGGTTCAGGTGTCTATGGAAAAGCTCTTGGTTCTTAGTTTAACATATTAAAATATGAGAATTTTTGGGAGCTTTTGTTATTCCCGGTTTTGAAAGGAATCACTAATGCGAGTTCCATGTAAGAGCTCAGAGCAGACAACTTCATTTCTCTTCATTCGCTTAGCCAAATATTATGAATCTTTTGTTGTTAGAAAGTTTCTTGTGCCTAAATCTCAGAAGTTTTGGCAGCCTAATGAAATGTAACAATTGAAGTTTTAAAATCATTCTTTTTTTTTTAGAAGAAAACTGTTGCGCCATCATTTTATAAGGAATTGAAATTATTTTTTTGGCCGATTCCACTTTGAGTCTGGTTAAAATAACACTCTATTCAACATTATAAACCTATGAGCAATTTATGAAACCTTAATTGTAGCTGGGTTAGGAGAGGGAGTCTTTTTCCTTGACTAGTGGTTGTTCATTTATTTGACTTATTATTGGGCTTCCATTAACAGGTTACTGAATAAAAGGTTTATAAATCATCTTAATCATCAAATGAGTCAAAGAAATGTTTTCATTTTGTCCAATCCAATGGCTGTAGGCTTGTGAACACACTTTAAGTAGAAATTGATTAGGGATGGTCAATTGCTTCTGAAGTTTTGTGGTCCAGTTGATTCTGAGATCTGAGTTTTAGACACTTACCACACTTCACAGTCTGTTGTTAAGTACTTTATAGCCTGCTACATGCATGTCTTGGATCCGCAAGTTGTTTATGCAAATTAAGTAGTTTATCTGATGGCAGGTCAATGCAGCTGGTGATCTCTGTGCTATTTGCCAGGAGAAGATGCATGCCCCAATCTTACTTCGTTGTAACCACATTTTCTGCGAAGACTGTGTATCAGAATGGTGAGACTTGCTTTGCTGTTGTCTTACGTACTGGTCTGCATAATGATCTGAAATTGTCATTTACATTTCAGTTTAATATGCTCAACACTCTCCTAATTACCAGTATGTGAGTTTGTAATCTTGTGGTTTTCAGATGTAGTTATTGGTTGCTTCATATTTGTCTGCTATAAAATTCATGTTACGCTATTTTAATTTATTTTAGTACCGAGGTTAGCAGGTTTTATATTGCTTCCTTTTTGTTACTACATTTTTCTTTCTTCTATGTTTTCTGGTTCCTGATTATCTTAGGTGGTGTTTGGTTGAGGTTTTTTTAGGAGATACCTAGGCATCATAGATAGGGTTTCTTTGTTTTCCATGTTTGGTTCACAATATTACAAAATTTTGATAGGAAACACATTTCCCTAGACTTTAATATTTGTGTGTAAAATGGAAAGAAAGTTACTGTTCAATTTCTCCACTTTGAACGTGGTATTGTGACTTAGACGGCTAAATGAGTAAAAGACAACCAAAAAGCTGACCGTAATACCCTTATCTTACCTAATTTGCCCGGTAAAATTTTTTCCAACCAAACAACTTTTTTTACATTTTCCTACCAAACTCACTTTCCAACCATTTCCTTATCAATTACATTTCTCTAGTATTCAAAAAATTTCTCCTCAACCAAACACCCCCTTAGGCATTTGTGGGTACACTTTGAGAAGATGAATGCAGCTAAATATAATTAAACTGGTCACGTATTCATATAATGTACTAGTAAGAGGTTAAGTGTATCTTAATGACCTTGTAAACTAAGAAGTTGATTGAAAATATAATTAAATGTGAATCTTCATTTGCAAGGAATGAAGGTCCCTTTCCCCGAAATGCACAGGAAGTCTGTCATGTCATATAGTATGAATCAAAGCAATTTTAACCAATTTTCATTTTCGAATTTATCTAAGGGATTAATGTTTCTTATGTTATAGGAGATAACATTATCTCCTACACACACATAAAAGTGTATGGGGCCCATGTGAGATAATGTGAAGAGAAGAGAGAGAAAAAAGAAAATATGAGTCTCACATACTTTTATGCGTGTGTAGGAGATAAAATTATCTCCTATAACATGAGAAACACTAATCCCTTTGTCTAAATGTGGTTTTTGAAACACACCCGCAAGGAGTGTTGCTCCATGGCATGGTTATGGTTCATGTAGTAAATCTGTGGATACTAGTTTCATTTATGTGATGGTTAATTTGACCAAGATTATGTGCTGGAAATTCTCGCAGATGATCTTTGTTGCAGATGATCTCGGAGTTTCTCAGGACAAGTAAGCAAGCTTACATCATTAATTTGTTTGAGCCTAATTATAATTAGATTAATGAAACAATATGGAGTTTTTAGAGAATCTTTATGTCAAGGAGATGTCTATTAATATTACAATCAACTCCAACCATCAATTTTAAGTATGAATGTGTTTTACATATTTTACATTAATGTATTTTTGTTAAAGAAGAACATGTAACTACGTCGTAGATGAGTTTGAGCAGTGAACTCCCACGTTGGTTAAAAATGTACTAAGTGGATCATATAAATGGAAGAACCCATAACCTAATGCCCTAGGGTTTTGGATTGAGATATCAATAAGACTGTTATACTAAGTTCAATTTAATTCTTGTCTGTCTCATTCAGATAAAGAAGAAAGCCATGAATTTATTTGGAATTGTTAGAAATGCTTTATGAAATAATTTGCTTGTTAACATGTTTCGAACAATGTATGATTCTAGAATTGAGTTGGTTTATAACTATGTTATGACCATCTCACTTCTACTAATGCATTGTTTCTTTACTTACTAAGGGGATAAATTGAGTTGACATTTGATAAGAAGTATGATAATTCTCCTTTCTTATTCTTTAATGCATTTAAAATGTTAAAATGAAGCTGTCATATTAGGAATAGTCCAGATCCAATAAATTGCTATCAGTCAATAATTTTAAAATAACAAATATGGGTTTTTACTCTCTTCCTCACATTGCGGAAAGGTAAAAGAAATGAATAAATGTTACAAAGCATGCATATTTTCCTGGAAACAAAACCTCATCTAAGGCTAAGCTATGAAGGAAAAAAAGATTATTTTGCATGTTGGGAAACTGAAATACTGGGAGGAGCCTCATCTTCTGGTATACTCTTAAGTTCCTTATCATCTTCTTTTGGCACAGGATACATTTCTCTTGCCAGCATAGGTGGTGGACTTGATGACTGCAGAATAACCTCATCCGGCGATGGTGGTGATGCTGAGCCCGGGGAGATTGATAGCAAACGGGATATCCCACTGCCATCTATAGGGTAAACTTCTGTAACTTCTTCCATGCCCTCATCCAGATACACCACATCCTGCATAGTCAACTGATGGTATTCCACTATTTCTCTTAGGAAACGGTTTTCCCTAGAATATATCTCATTCTCATTTGCCAAACGAGCCTTCTCAGCCAGAAGTGTCTCCAGTTGAAGCCGGATCTGAGAAAACCACAAATACAAAGTAAATACATTCATCTTTTGAAGCTACTCTTACATGCAAAACACAACAAGGTAGTCGAATACATACTATACATTCATCTGCATACATACATACATTATGCTACAATAGAGAATATATCCATGTCAAAATCAGACACAACACTCATGTTAGATATACTTAATACTACAAAACACCACATGACATAACAGGACACTTCAAATCTTGTTTTGTCCATGTGAGTGCTTCTTAGGCATCTAATTAAACACAAGCTTGAAATAGGGAAGAGAAAACTAAAATAATACCAGATCATCATCTTCACGGTTATGTCCCTTCTGGTTCTGGCTACCCTCTCGGTCCCGGAGTAATTTATTTTCTTCTTCGAGCTGAGCACACCGTGCTTTAGCAAAAGCCAAATCTGCTTTGACGGTTTTTAGCTCTCTAAGAAGTAATTTTGCTTTGGCAGCTGTTGCCATTGCCACCTGCAAAGGGAAATTATGCTCAAACATTTAATTCAAATAAACAACCATCACAAATTCAATTTTATGTTCATAATTACAATCAGAAGCAAAAATTTAAACTGAGTTTCCTGCATCTAAAATATGTATGAATGCCTACAGGTTTTAGAGTGAGTGAAGTCTTGACATGGAGCCGTTAATTAACTAGCTGTTGTTATATCAATGCCTTTCCTCAAAACTTGATAAAACTTTGATGGTCCAATATATGTGCCATTTGTGGACTGAGTTTAAATTAATCATATGACATGTAACTAAGAACACACTTTACTAACATAAAATCTGTGAACAACTCCAATGTTATGTTAAGACATTCTATGCCTTCACTACATGAACCAGTGAGGCAACGATACACGACTGCATAGTTGCCACCTTACGTCGCGAGATGCCTTGAGTTGTGTTTCTTGGCTGGATAGATTCTGTGTCTGAGCTGATTGCTGCCATGGATTCCTCACATCTGAAAATTGGTTTATGTCCTCAGGGCCATTTCCTTTTCTTCTGATTTGAGTTCTCAGGTCTGCTGTCTTACTCTCCACCATTGTTCGGCCTTCCTGAAGGAATTAGAGAAGCAGCATTGAATTGAAGAAAGTTATAATATTAATTAAGCCATTAGTGAGTAAGCTAGCAAAACAAAGCAAAGTAACTAATTAAATAAAAAGGTCTGCTTATACTTCTGCCTGAGGTATGAATATCTGATATACTGTTGAAACATGTATTTCAGAGAAACTCGTCAACAGTTATATATTGTGTTTAACTCTTGTCATTTGTATAACAATTTTCACACCATTTTACGCTGGCTAACAATGACTAAATTATTGGTTAATGTTGAGATATATAAAATCCTTAATATAGCCTCACCCAACAGCTTAAGCTTTTGGGTGAATTGAATCTTTACATGGTATCAGAGCCTCGGTGTACCGGGTTCAATCCTCACCGCCCCCACTTTTTTTCTAGTGGAATTGCTTTCTTCGCACAGGTAGGTGGGCCTGTGCATTGTCCACCCTTCAAGTCCAGTGGGCTCTCGTGTGAGGGGGCGTATTGAGATATATAAAACCATTGATGTAGCCTCACCCAAAAATTTAACTGATACCATGTAAAGAATCACTTCAACCCAAAACCTTAAGGTGTTAGGTGAGGGCCTTTTTAATGATTTATATTATTCTCTCACATTTAACAAGAAGTATAGATTGGTTTAAGGGACTAGTAATCTGTTACCAATTTAGTAGTAATTGATTATTGGTACATCAACCAATTTATACACCTTGATAACTAATAATTGAGTCACCATTAACCAGTACAAAAATGATGTGAATATTTTACTGTTCATGAAACATTTCTGAATTGTGTTCCAGGATAATACTAAATAGAATTGTGGAGAAACCAATTGCAAAATGAAAGTATATATGATACAGACAGAGTTACCTCAAAAGCCTTCTCAAAGGTGTCACCTAGTTGATTGAGGGAAGAAGTGATTGCATCCAAGCCCTTCCGAAATGTAGGATTGTCCATATTTCTATTAGAGTCAGGGGGTTGATATAATGGCTTGAACTGTGAAGGGAAGTTCTAAGCATGCCAATGAAAAAAGAAAAGAAAAAAAAGAACACCACACAATTAAGTTGATTCCAATTCAACTGATTGAGTAAATGACAGACATATATTAAATAATTATTAATCAGCACCATATCATATCCCTGCATGCATGCATAGAAAATAAGAAAAAGTGAACAAGAGTTGCATTATATTTATGTATGATAATCACCTGAGCTGCAGAAGGACTTGTAAAGGTATTAAATGAGCGTGATTTGAGTGTTTGGGGAATGGTATTATCATGTTGTGGGGTTGAATTGTCATCATCCAGAATTGATTTGGCTTTCTGAGCCAGGACACCCCAGAAACCAGACTTGGAGTCTCCATTTCCATCAGCATCAAAATTCTACATGCATGCATTCATCATTCCAGAAATTACACACACACACACATATATAAATATAAACACAATGGTTGTTTTTTTTTTTTTCTCTTCTTAATTAAATAAAGACATAACAATGAGCATTCAATAATAATACCTTGGATCGTTGATGATCAGAGTCAGAGGAAGGGGTGAAAGAAAAAGCAAGAGATGGTTGATGCGTAGCAGCAGAGGCTTTGATGGCTTGAGCAGCAAGTGATGGTGAAGATAAAGAGAAGGAAGGTAGGGACACATTTTCATGCTCAGAATCCTTAACATTATCCAATGATTCATGAAATTCTTCCTTGAAGGTGGAAGCCCTTGATAGACCTTGTCTTCTTCTGTATGCCATGCTATTTCCTACCACAACCTGCGAGATCACAAAAACCAGGAACGAAACTTCTGATTCAGATTCAACAACTGCCACAACCAACTCTTTCCCTTTTTTTTCTTTTCTTTTGTTTTTTTCTTACGGTCATGAAATGAAGTATCAACCAATAATGAATGGGAACATAATCCCACGTTGCATTAGACATAAAATTCACTTATTTCTTTCTCTTTCTTCTGCTCAATGGATCCATAGACTTTTTTATATAATTTTATCATGTGCAACTTAACAAATTATATTCCCATAATGAATATGTAACAAAGTAAGGAATTAATGTTTCTATTATTATAAGAGATAATTGTATTTCCTACATGTACATAAAAGTGTGAAACCATATTAAAAGAAGAAGGAGAAAAAAAAAATATGAACTCCATGTACTTTTTATGTATGTATCGGAGATAAAATTATTTCCTATATGATGAAAAATATTAATCTCTTAAAATAAATATATAAATATAATAATTGCTTGTTACTGACAGATCACAAAGGTATAAGTGTTGTCCCTTTTCTTTTTCTTTTCATAATTCCAATTATCCCATTACTTTGGTAACAATGCCAAGTTGGCGGGTGGTGTTTGGGACAAAGAATTGGAGCCGAACATGAATTTTCTGACTACAAACACTATATGAACTAATAATTATTCATGTCAAAACTCTCGGTATTAACCTGATTTGTTTATTATGCAGGTTTATATGATACAAATAACTTATTAATTTTATTTTTTGAATGACAATTATTTAAATAATATTAAATCATTCAATAAAAATAAACTAACTAGGAGTAAATATATAATAATTATTATTTGATTTAAATAGATCAATTATGAATCGACATGAATTTTTCCGCATCACTTTTTAATGTACACAAACACAAAATTTGCGTCTTACATTAAAAAATTTCACCCATAATAATAAGGCGAAATCAGCTCTCATGTTATAGGAAATTTTTGATTTTCTGCCATAGACACATTTATATGGTGGATTCAAACATCTTTTTTAAAAAAAAAAACTTAAAAAAAAAAAAAATGATGTGAGAACAACCAGACATGAGAAAATCATCTCCCTAGTAATAATAGTTAAAAAGGTCGAATGTCGTTTTTATTTTTATTTTTCTTTTCTCCAATGTATACAAGATAGTCATGGATGGATGGTCCATTGATACTTCCATTTCTCCCGAAAGAAAAAAAATATGGTCAAATTGATATTGATATTAATGTTGACGGATCAACTCAACTGTCGAAGTAAATGTTGTAGAAATAGTTATTCAATATACTATAGTGTGGTATATATTGTTTGTACATGTTATATTAATTTCTTATGCTTTGTGCTTAGAAAGGTATAAGCTTTGATTTCAATATTAGTAATATGTGTCAAAATTAATTCCATTTGGGCTAACGCCTAAGCTTTTAAATTATTGCTTTATTATTTTTGTGAATTTAAACAAATTAAATGAAGAAGAGGGTCAAGTGCGTTCAGTGACAACTCAACTAAAAGGACTTGTTAGTCGTATCTGTCAACCATATTCCCATGAGCAACTTTAGTTTTGCCTTTCCCATCTGCCAAGAATGTCATTGCCTTGAAAGACCTTTTCCATAGAGTTCAGTACACTTTTACAGCACATTGCTTCAAATTTTATTAATAAGTGGAACATTTTGCATCAAATGCATAAATCGATCTCCTATTACATAAGATTAATAAAGCATTTACATAAAATCATAAATTACTTAAACAAGCTTTAGTATATCATTTTTATATAATATTATATTGGAAAAAATTAATCCCACGTCACATAAGATAAGTTTTCTTTCTACACACTCTTCGATAACCGTGTAACATTTTTCTTTTCTTTCTTTTTTATTTTTTAGGTAGTGGGTCCCATCACTGTGTGTCTATAACATAAGATTTCTTCTCTCATGCAACATGAGACTAGATAAGCCCTATTATATTACAAAAATAATTTGTTCTGCTGACACAACAGATTTGAGGCCAGGCATATTTCTGACAACAGTTCAAAACGAATAGTTAGGGAAGCTATAGGAAATGTTTGACTGAGTTTTCAAGGAATCATTTGAATTGCCATTGAAGAGGTTTTGTCATTTGTGATCACTCTATTCATGTACTCCCAGAAAAAGGGCTAGTAAGCATGAGGCCCAACAGTTTTTTCTTTATGTTGTTAGCATCAGAGTTTTGAAATCTTGTCCATTCTGCCTCTATTTTTTTTTTATCCTTTGTTTTTTTCATTTATTATGAAATTCTGTAGGTTGAAGCCAAAAAAAAAAACTCTATATTTGAGAGTTAATTGGTGTCTCCTATGCCTTTCTTTGTTTTTGAAAGGTACAATATAATTCCCATTACATGTCTTGATAGTTAGCATAGTTTCATATGCTTACCACTTATATGTCTTGACAGATATCATGGTTAGTGTGACTACCTCTTATCACAATATTCTCTGTTGGTTGAGTAGTTCTAATATAGCATGGTCCTTCATTTTCATTTATTTATTTCCATATGTGCAGCAAGCAGTCTAGGTTAGATATGGTATAGTCTTTTTCCATTTGTTTTGTGAATTTCCTTCAGATTCATGACTTGGGCAATTTAGGCCATGTCAGTTTTTTGTACTTGATAATCTGTAAAATTATTTTATAAGTCAATGAATGTAACAAGCATGTAGCCATCTGCTTATGAATATAATATTTAGTTTAACATTTCTTCCCTACCATTTGGTTGTTTGGAAATTTGATTGCTCTAAATTAAATTAAAAAGGGAAATTGATCAAAATATTCATGCTTCTAAGTGTGTATCCCACTTTTATCACTGCATTTTGCTCAATCTAATTTCTCCTTTGTTAGAGAAATATAATATAAAAACCAGTGTTTAAAAATCCGGACGAGTCATGGGGTCACGGGTTCAACCGGGGAGTCACGGGGTCGATTTTATACATTAAAAAAATATAAATATATATTCTATATGAAACATTCAAAAAAATCAAACCACCAATCATTAAAGATTCAAAATATAGTTAACATAATTCAACCAATTACATCTACAAATCAATATTCACAAGCTAATCAAACTATCAAAGTATAAAACACATATTCCAATGGAGCTAATGAAAAGTTATATCATCAAATTCAGGCTCTTCTTGTTCTTCTTATGCTCCTAAAATAGTATGTGAAAGAAGATCCCTTACTCAATAGATAATAGTGGAGGAAAGACGGCGACACGAAAAATTAACGGTGGAGAAAGAAGAACCAGCACGGTGGAAGAGATCACTAGAACAGGAAGACCGAGTCTAAGTCAGGGAGAGAAGATCGGGAAAGAAGAAGAAGAATGATTCAGATTTCAGGTCTAGTTCTAAATCTAGGCAACAACGAGTTTTTTTTTTTTTTTTTTTTTACACATCAAATGACTTCATTTTGTGTATAAGTTTTAAAAAAAAAAATGCAGTAACCCTTTGACCCTTATGACCCGGGAGTCAAGGGTTCAACCGGGATGTTTCAGGGGTTAGAGGGGTCAACATGCAAGTAGGGTCTAACTACTAACCCGAACTCTCAGAGAAAGAGAGTCAGTGACCCGGAGGGGTCAACCCCGAGGTGGGGTGGAATTTTAAAACACTGATAAAAACATTAATATAGCCTCATCTAATACCTTAAGTATTAGAGTTAACTTGGTTCTTTACATGGTATTGAAGTAGACCAGCTTACTCTAACAATGGTGCAAGTATTGGGCTTGCCATTTTGTGAAAAGTGAAGTGACAAGTACACAAGAAAAAGGGGTTGAGAAGGATTACAGCAAACACAGAAGATAGCTAAGAAGGGTTAAAATAGAATATGAACATAGCTAAGAAGATTGGCTTATTACTCTTCTGAACTTGATCAAATTTAACTAACAGATATAACTGAGTGAAAACTTTGAATGGATGGCTTTCCAAAACACTTTTTGAAACTTATAAAATTAAACACACACCTCAAAGTTGGATTCAAACAGATTCAATCTTGTAGAAGCTGAAGTTTCCTAAACCTTAGTTGGTTGAGTAAGTCATGATGAAAACTTAGTTTTTAACTTGTAAATACCAAAATCAGAGATGAGAAACATAACAAAATAACATGAATGAAAGATTTAAGAGTAGAGACAGCTTAACAAAGAGACACTTAAACAAAAAGAGCAAGAGTGTGTATGATAATAGATAGCTCTTAAAATCAATGAAGGAGTGTGTATAAACCAGTTAAAAAGCAAGAGTATCACCTACTACAAGATTTTAGCAAATATAACACAAGTAGGCAGCATTTTAAGTATATATTTTCAATACAGGGAAGGTTATATTTATGGGAAATATAAGAATCATGTTGCAGGAATGACACTGTTCATTCCTGCAACAAGGATACGGCGTCCTATCCTAAGGATACGGCGTCCTATCCTGACTTTGGTCTGACTTTTTTTTTTTAAGCGTGGGACCCACACTTGATTTGTGTGTGTAGGAAAGTGCTCTTGTCATGTCAAATGACAAAAAGGGAACCCTATATTTATAAAAAAAAATTCTTACAAACTTATAAACTATACTAAGTATAACTTGTCAGACTTCAATCAAGAGTGTATGACCGGTCAGATATAATGTAATTTGTAAGATTTTGTAAATAAAAAGTTTGTAAATATAACCTTCCCTTAATTTCTTAATCATCAAAACATACTATAAAACTTTTGACTCAAAGGGGTTTTGGTCCTAACAAAAAGTAGAAGCAAAATGCCACCACCTAAAACTGCTGAGGGTTTTTTTAAAAATCATCCAAAAAAAAAAAACTGCTGAGTTTGCAAACAAATTCTTATAATTTACAGTGATGTTGATTAACTGACACCATATTTCTAGAAATTCCTTTTAAGTAAACTTCGATCATCTGTTACTTAGAAAGAATGCCATGTGTTTTGTTCAACATAAGAACTATGAAAATTGCATTTTGAATAGTGATTTTAATGTGAAAACAAAAACTTCCAGAAGCTGGGTTGAAGAAAGAATAATTATTCATTTCTATTCTTTGCTTAGAAATCTCAAATTATTATGTAAGTTGTGTATCCTTGCTGATTTTCTAATGCTTTCAATCCTACTATTAATTTAATTTTGGTGACCTTCGTGATTTTGTTTTTGGTCTACTTAAGACTTGTTGCTCTATTTAATTTAAATTAAAGATTGGTTAACTTATTTAAAGATAAACATGTTTGTTAAATAAGTCTTGCAGTCAAGCTAGATTTAAAAAAAAAAAAACTTACATCACAAAAACTAAGTCCACATACCATAGCTTATTCCCGTTTTCAAATACTATATTGGTTCAACTGAAAACAAAAATTACCGGAGAATTGTTGGTTCAGTGACGATCTAGTTAGAGTCGAAAAATGATTTGCCCAAAAGGTAATGGATTATGGGATTATATTTTCTTACTCAACATTGAGATAAGATATCTCATATTACACTCACAAATTTATGTGGATCCCATTGCGCAGAAAAAAAAAAAAAAGATTTTAAAGTGGGTACCACGTCTTTTTGAGTGTGTAGGAGAGATTTGTTATCTTCTATCACATAAGATTAATATTTCCCATGGATTATACTTACCCAAAAAAAAAATGGATTGTATTTCTACGAACCACAATTTGTGAGAACAGAAAGATTTAAACCCGAAACCAAATTAGTTATTTTGATATCTAAAAAAATAAATAAGAGTAAACAGCCTTTTTGGTCCCTAACAAAAAATACGGTCCCCACTTTAGTCATTTACAAAAATAAATTAGTCAGTTAATCCCTAACAAATTCAAAGTGGACCCATTTTAGTCCTTTTGAGGGACGAATATGGGTCTTTTTTGAATTTGTGAGGGACCACGATTTCAACTAAATGGGTCTACTTTGAATTTGTGAGGAACTAACTGACTAATTTATTTTTGTAAGGGACTAAAGTGGGGACCGTATTTTTTATTAGGAACCAAAAAGGGTATTTACTCAATAAATTAAAATATAAAAATATTTTTGTAAATAATAATTAGAGGTATAAATAGGTTGGACTGGATTAGACTTTGACTTAAATAAGTTATGCATGTGTAAAATACTTTAAACCTGGTCTGATTTATTAGTCTCGTATATGTCCAAATTATAAGTTTGGTCTGACCTCTATTTAAAAAACAAAAGTCTTAGCCTAGATCTGTTAGCATGTTTAAACGTCATTCAATAATTAAGAAAAATAATTAAAATAATATTATTTTATTATTTATAATCATTAAAATAATAATTTATTTATTTTATTTATAACCAGTAAGCTTATAGGTCTGGCAGATAAAAGAAGGTCTATATTCTACTTTTTAAATAGGCTTTTTTTTGAGTTAAATGTGGTAGGATATTGTAACAACTAATTAGTGTTACTACCAATCAATTTCACCGTTATATCGATTATGTGGATCCAACGATTATATTTATTTTCATCTTTGTATAGTTATAATTTTCCATATTTAATATTTTTATTTATTTTCATCTTTATATGATTATGATTCCTCATATTTAATGCTTTTACATTAAATATGAGGAATCATAACCATAGAAAGATGAAAATAAATATAATCATTGGATCAACATAATCGATCTAATGGTGAAATTGATTGGCATTAACATTAATAATAATCTTAATTGATTGTTACAATAACCTACCTATAGTTAAATATGTATAATAAATCAAATCTTATCTAATATAAACTTAACTGTAAGTCCCATTTGCATCTACAGTAAAAATATGGTAAAAGAGTAAGAGAAAAAAAAAAAAATTAAATACGTCGTCGTCGTGGTGTGCGTGTGTTATGTTGACGAGGCGAAGTCGCTGGCTAAGAATTTGTTAGAAAAAGTTGTGTTTTTGTGCTTCTGCAACCAATTCATTCCATTCCATCAAAATGCTTAACTTCAAATTCGACGTGTTTTTGTGTTTCCTTCAAATCTGACCCTAATTTCTCGTTCCTTGGGAGATCCAAATTTCATCGTGTTCGCGCGAGTCTCTCAGGTCATTCTCTCTCACTCTTTCTTTAATGTTTTTTTTTTTTTTTTTTTTTGCTTCTGACATCAATACACAATTTTGATGCTATCTGTTCGTGTTAAAAATTCATCCTTTACGCTATTCCCACATTGCCCTCATTCTAATAAACGCTTTTCATCTTCTGGGCATTTCATAGTTGTAGCAATTTAGTTTCTTTTTTCGATTGCTTGCTTCCACTGTTGCTGCACAATGCAATCATTGTTATGTGTACTTCTGTAGGTGGTTTAGAGAGAGAGAGATAGATAGATAGATAGAGCTGAAAATTTGAAATTGAAGTAATTAACAATCTCTCTAATCACATTTGATACTTGATTAATGCTAAGGATCTAATTTACCTTTTTCTATGAGCTCAACTCACATGATTTTATTATGTTGGTGGTTCTATTGTGTTGTGTGATTTTAAGATTTAGATTGGTCCTAGTTAGTGTTGGCATGTTCTGTTCAATTCTGGTAAAGGATGGCTACTGTAGACACATATAATGGGTCTTGCCCTTTCGTAGACCTTGCCCAGAGCAGGAGCTTTATAGCATCAGGTTGCCCTTTATTGGTCCTGGTGCGAAGTATTAGTATTATGGCTTGTTGATGCGTAATTTGGATGCCACATTATTGACATCTTCTAACTTGTTTGATTGCCTGTTTTGACTATATGTTGCTATCTTTAATAATCTGGATTTTGCCTGGTTTCAGATGGCTGCGAATTCTGAGAATTTCTCATCTGTATCGTCTCTGTCTACTTCACGGGTTCACAGGGACACTGATTTTGTCCAGGTTGCAGTGTGTTCTCTTTGCCAAAAGGCCCTATCACCTGATAATGAGATTACAAGTGATCTTTCAACCAGTGGCGTATGTGGTGATTGTAAATTTTTATTACTTGAAGACTTTGGGAATCATACTGTTTCTCAAAGCTCTCAAAGGAGGCTTAGAGGAAGATTCAGGCACAACAGTTCTGAATCAGTTGAGAATATGTTATCACAACAGCTCCCCTATATGGTTAATACTATGGGGCAAAACCAATCCACTGCATCTGCAGAGGATGATCAACTTGTAGATGGTGACTCCCCTGCTTGGTCATTGCAGTATTCTAGTACACATACTACCCCTGGTGGGTCTAGAAGCTGGGGGCAGGTTCTATCTGATACCGACAGTGATGGTTTTGATAATTGGAGCTCTCTTTATGGTGAAAATGAATCAAGTGCGAGTCTTAGACGGTATAGGGTTCCCCATGGCGAGACTGATTCTTTCTCGTTCAGTGCTTATGGAGGTGACTCAGATATCTCTATGGATAGACACAGTTTTGTAGGCACGGGAATGTTTAATTTACTAGATGTGGGAGATGAGTTTGATAGTGACACTGACATAGATCCAATGCATGCTGGCCTCAGCCAATGGAACTCTGATATGGAAGACAATGAGGAAGAAGAGGATGAAGACGGAGAAGAGGAGGAGGAGGAGGATGAAGAGGAGGAAATGGAACTAGCTGAGGATGAGGAAGCTGTAGCCACTGCTCGCCTTCAAATTGTTTTCACCTCAAATTGGGATTATCTCATGGGGCAAACTTTGGAGGATGCTGATTTACCTCATGGAGCAAACTCGGGGGATTATCTTGATGCTAGACGCTTTGAAGACCTGCTTGAGCATCTTGCTGAAAATGACAGCTCAAGACGAGGAGCACCTCCTGCTGCTGTGTCTTTTGTGAATAATCTGCCCCGTGTAGTCATTGGCAAGGAACATGAGAAGCATGGCGAGCTAGTTTGTGCCATTTGCAAGGATGTCTTGGCCCCTGGCACTGAAGTCAATCAGCTTCCCTGCTCTCACCTATATCACGCATCTTGCATTTTGCCATGGTTGAGGGCAAGAAATTCATGCCCTCTTTGTCGTTATGAGCTTCCAACTGATGATAAGGATTATGAAGAAGGAAAGCAGAATATTGGTAGTATAGATATGATTCATGAGAGGCAGCAATTAGATATGATGGATGATAGTTCCTCCGATGGAGCTGAAGTGAGTGAAGAGGATGGTACTAGTCAAGGTGGAATACAGCATAGGGGAGTTGTGAGCTTGGGTTCTACCATGAATTCTTCTGCAGCAAGAGGTGGTAGAGGAAGATGGTTTTATCTTGCTGCAGCTCCAATTGTTAGTCTAGTGGGCATCGTTCTTGTCTTGTGGTTAGGTAACAATTCACAGATTGAAGGGAGTGGACATCTGGGTGGTCGCAACTTGTCTGGGCAAAATCAGCATGTGGTATTTGCCTCCCCAAACCAAAGGGAGAGTAGAAACAGAAGATGGTGGTGTCCATTCTAAGTATAAGTACTTCTCCAATTGTTCATCAATAATGCCTAATGATGGCCACTTGTGATGAAATTTTTAGCTGACTTAGTATTCATGGCGTGCTTTTTGTTCTCACTAATTTCAGAAGTCATGTAAATATTAAGTTTGTAATACCTTATAGCATGGTCTTTTTTCTTGTTCTTGTTTTCTTTTTTCCTGGTTTGTGTGCTTCGAGGACCCAATGCCTGAATATTTGATGATCCATCCTTGATGTTTTTCTGTGTTAGACTGAATTCATTTAAACTATTGACTAAAGTTTTCTTAGGTTGGGAAGCACCATTATCATAAGAACATTGTTAGCTGATATTACTGCAAATTTTTCAAAAATTTCTCCGTTTGGCAGGTTTTGTCACTACTACCAGAAATTTTTGGATATAACTCCACGTGAATTAAAATTTGTTATAGCCTTTTAATAGATTTACTTCTTTTTTATAAGAAAATAGATTTACTTTAATAGCTCATGGAGTGGATCAACGCTGACAAGGGCAAGAACAATGTCCTTTATACAAAATAGATTTACTTGCTTTTTGTTTAGTTACCCTATTATATCTATATGTGAATCTCAATTTCTTTATTGATTATTTTTTTTATTTCTCAAAAAATTGTTGATATAAAAATTTCCATTACTTTATATACAGCCCCAGCCCCAGGCCCCATTACTTCATGTAAAAAATTGTTTTGAAAAGATTAGGAATCAAATCAATGACAATGATGTGAACATATTCAAGCCTGGCATGTGAATATAATTATTGATGATTCCTTTTGTCTCTATCCTAATAATGAACTGGGAAAATATTCCAGTATATTGCTAGAGAATGGGTTCTCCAAACCAGCTTGGAATAGTAACTAGACCTACGATTTAAAATAACCATTAAACTTTGAAGAGGGAACAAGTTTTCCAGCTCTTCTTCTAATCAACATCATCAATCAGTAGACGGCAGACATCATGACCATGATTAGCATATGTAGGCACACTAGACAAAACATTAGTATTTCTGCACTAGACAAAATTAATGGGATTAAATTACAAAACTACTATAAAACCATTATAGCTCTCTTCAGTCTCAGAATAGTATGTTTAGATATAGAACAATCCATCCTGCCATTGAGATTACAGCAAAGATATGGACCCAGAACAGTACAGCAGCTGCCTCCCTTCCACAACCTCTTAAATTAGCAACAGCACCTGTGAACAAGTAAAACATTTATGCCTAAAAACCAACACATAAAAAAACTCATGTCCATATAAAGTTCAGCTTAACATTTTTTGTTATTAACTAACTATTATATAACAACAATCTTGTTTACCAATAAGAAAAATCCTTAGAGCAACTTGAGACTAAAAGGCCAAAGTAGCGACTATTTCCCAATTTTCAACCCACGGCCACCCAGAAAAACCTGTGTTGTGCCAGTTATGTGTGTGGTAAACAGAACCTGTACTTTGAACCCCTAGAAAATGTTCAGAAATGTCTACAAGTGAGGATAAGGACTAGGATAGATGTGTGTGCTATACCTGAAAGGACAGATGTAGGCATTGAATGCTGCAGGAGTAGGACAAATCGAAACATCTTATCATCAGGGGGTAGAAAACCAAGCTTGTCAGCCAACATGACAATGCCAAGTCCAACAACAGGCACTAAAACTAACCGCGCAAAAATAATTGCAGCAGTTGTCCTAAAACCAAGTTTGGAACTTCCAGGACCTGCAACCAAGACAAAATGCCAAGCATGATTCATTTAAATGTTTTAGTCAAAAGATCATTTGACTCTGACAAACATGATAAGTGACATTGATTAAATATAATGAGACCACTATAACAAAAAATTACCATCAATAAGGTTGCCTCCCAATGCCAACAGAATGCAAGGAATCATGGCCCCCCTGATCACCAAAGGAACTATTAGACAGGATCACCAATAATAGCTTCATAAGTATCCCTAAATGATTTCTGCTTGACAAATAATAATTTGATATCGGTATTATAAAACTAAAATTCTCTGACTCAGCTCCAAAACAAATATTTTGTAAGTTTATCTATTTATGGGTTGCTTTATAACCACGATTGAAATGTTTCCCTGAAAATATTTAAAAATAAATAAATTATTTTATTTTAATTTGGGATAAAAGTGTTGTTGATGTTAATGTTGATTTCAGAGGGTAAAGAACCATTTCAACCCAAAAGTTTAAACTGGCGGGTGATGCTACATTAATGATTTTATATATCTCTAACAGAGAGAAAAGAGGAAGGGTAAGAGGGAGAAGGATAAGATATCTTCTTCTATACCAATAAATGAGCAGAAAGAAAATATTAACCTTGAAAGGCTTAATGCTTATATAGCTGTAAACCAAAGTTTGATGTTATAAGTCAAAAGAAGAAGAATAGGTGAAACTATCAGTCATTTACAGATCTACTCTTTGTTATTTTTGATAGTAAAGGTTTTACTATGTTGTTGCTTCGATTTCCCAAAGAAACTAGTTCAACTGCCAAAACCATATTACTTTTAAATGAAGACTTGTACTAAGGGCAAATCCAGGTGCACAGGGCTCCTCGCCTTGCGAGGGTAGAGAAGAAGGTTGATTGTACGCAGCCTTACCCTTACATTTTTGCAAAGAGGTTATTTCCCAGAGAAGAAGGTCGATTGTACGAACCCATGAGTTTCCAGTCACAAGAAACAACTTTACCACTGCTTCAAGGCTCGCCCTCAAAACTAAGGATTTGTACTATTAATTATTAAAGTGTCAATAAGTGCCAATATGTTATTACCCTTCAAAAATATTGTCCATGGCACACAAAAAATGTTATATCCTAAAAGTTGGTATGTTGTTCAATAGATTAGAATACTTAATAAAATAAAAACACTAAATTTTGTAGCACAAACTATATTAACGTAAAAGCATCCACTTTATTAAAAATTAAATGGGCGTACCCAAGAATGATGCAGCTGTCAGTGAAGAAGAACAGCGGAGCATCAGGTGTAAAGATCAGTTGCTTTAGAAATGGGACTGCACCAAGTACCATGGCTAGAATCTGCAAAAGATGTGCAGTACCTCAATCAAAATCAATTCTGTTAATATATTAACATAATAATGATCTGTTTACCAAAATACCAGTAGACTAGTTCACAAATATTACTTCTAGTTAAACAAACTCATTGCTCTGGGCATTTCATTATTATGAAAGTAGGTAAACCTATACAGGTATTTCCTAGTGTTTTTAAACTATATAGAAGACTCGGCATTAATACTGCTGATACAGAGAAGTAAAATGCGGAAAAGAAAAAGGTAAGCACAAGAGGGGGAAAAAAGTTTAGAGCCACTCTCCTCTATGCTTTAAACAACTAATCTCTTCTTGACCAGGTTGCCCTGGTCCTAAAACTGGACACTAACAGAATGCCTCTACAGGAAATCTGGATTTTTAGTGCATAAATTTGTTTCTCTAATTCTTCTACCAGATATTGCAGAAAACATATCATACACAAATTGGATAACCCTATCAGGACAAGTAAGATGAGACCTCCAACCACACACACCGACACAAAATAGATAAGCAATGAAGAGAATGCAGTATATAAAATGAGAAAAACTAAATACTAATTATAGGTGCAATAAGGAGAAGCTTACCGATGAAATGATAGGGGGTTGAAGAATTTGCTTAAGCTTTAACTTCTCATATAGGTGGGCTAAGAAATCTTTAATCTTCACCTGAGGAAACATTGTATCCAAGAAAGAATGAAATACAAATGAGATAATTAAAACAGGCACTCAGTTGAAATTTGACTGCACAAATATAAAAATTAAACCATCAACAACAATTCAGAGGCCAAATAGAGTAAGATTTGGAAGTTGGACCTGAAGGACATAAGAGAGTTCAAAATAACATACATGTCCAGTAAAATTTGAGAACATAACTATGAAAATAACATGAAGTTGTATAAACTCTTAAGTTTTACACATTATAGTCATGAAGATGATCTGACTACACATTGGTACTAATTTCCATCTTTGCAAGGCACAGTGGTCAAGTTTCATCTACTCAATACAAGCGCAAAAAGAAGGGGGAAATGCTGATTTAGATTAAGGGAAAATACACTTGAGAAAATCACATCCCCAATATGACAGTTATGACAGTTGTCACCTTGGAAATACTGAAACAATGCTTCCTCCCACCCCCTCCCAAAATAAAATAACAACCTGTTCAATTTTCATCTTTAGTTCATCAAATCACACAAAAAATGGAAAACTTAACATCTGTGTATCAAATCAATCTCACCTTCCACTTCTTTGAAGTATTTGGATCTGTTAAAGTGACCTCCTCTGCCTGATTAAGCAATGGAACTTGTTCAGGTAAACCATCACTCTTAGAATTACTCTTTAAGAGAATGCTTTCATTATCAATGTCAAACGTGCCTTCAGGAGGAGGCGCCAACATATTAAATACATATGTGTATAGGATGATAGCACCAACCTAAGATAAATGAGAATTAATAACTCCTGATTAGCAATAGGTTTTTATTTTACTGGGATATGATATGTAGAACAATATAAATATCTAAACTAGTCTAAATAATAATAAAGAGCCTACATATTGTGAATTGCTTAACAAGTGAATGAATTATAAGTCAAGGAACAAGATATCAACGACTAAAACAAGATGCAGTGGTGAACAAGATATCTAGAGCCTACCCACTGGCCAAATGATATATAGGCAGTTCCATCTGTGCTACATTTATCTGAGTCTCCAAAGGGATTGGATTGGTCTCGACATAAGGCAGCAATCAGGACAAGTGGCACATTCCCAATATTCCCTGTATAGTAATTTGCAACGATATGATTTAAGACAAGGAAAACCAAGACATGAAACACAGATTCAAAATATTTGCTCCAATTTTTCTTTTTTATTTAGTCAATATCATATACAATCATTACATTCAAGTAAGATTCCAAATGTAAAGAAAGAAAAACAGGTTGACTGGGTTACCAATTCCAATATGTACAATTGTAAACTTGAAGAAAGGGTACGGGGGACGGACGACGGAGGCAACAAGAAAACCAATGAGTGAGCCTGATATAGAACCCAGAAGAACATTCACAGGAATAAACCACCTACACACAAAAAAAAATGAAAGATCAATGAATTAGTGTGTGTGTGTGTGTGTGTGTGTGTGTGTGTGTGTGTGTGTGTGTGGTGTGGATACAAAATAATAAAGGGAAATTCAAAGTGAGGGAACTAGATCATCGTTACCACTTACCAGTCAAGCATCTTCTGCAAGGTAACAGCTTGTCCCAATTGGGAAAATATCAAGCAGGGTAGCAAGAGTGAAAACACCAGCTGCAAGAACCAATAAAAATTGCATTTGAGATCACATACCACATGCATAAAACATACACAAAAAACCTACATATGTATTATATGCATACATACCCCATTCAAAAGCTTCCTTCCGTTAGCATTCAAGATGTTAACATACTTGGAAGCCATAAGAAATCCCAAGAAACACATGGTGAACACTTTAACTATGGGCAACACTGCGATTTTGATGGACCCCAACAAGGATTGTCCCCCTGCTCCTGCTGTGCCCTGATTTTGCAGGGCCAACAGAAACCTCTCCATCTTTGCCATTGTTATTTGTTGCAGCTTTTGTTCAACAAACAACTCAATCTGAAACCCTTTCCAGAGAAGAAGAAAAAGACAACACTCGATTGTTTGAAAAAACTGCACAAAGATTGAAAGATCTTCCCCTTAAGAAATTGTTTGACAATATGATAGAACAAAAATTACAAAAAAAAAAAAAAAAAAAACATGAAACCTTGAAATTAATAACCGCAGAAGATTATTGTCGGTCCTGAACACGACAATATAACGTTAATGCTATGAGGCGTAGGCATGCAGCAACATCAACAGCACCAGCATATGAATACGATTCTATTCGTAGGTCTCCAAATTTCTGTTTCTGTTTCTGTTCCAACAAAATTTGGAGACACAACATCACCAAACACAAATCCACTAAATCTAAAACCAAATCGAAATCTAACTGTAATTTACTACCTCACCTGTACTTCTTCACTTGTGTTGACGAAAAAGGACTGGTAGTTACCAACAACACTCCAAAATGGCACGGAACCCCACATATTTATACGAATTTTCCATATTTTTTCCCTTGTTAACAATCAATATTCCATCCCCAACTAGAACTTTACCTAAACTATTCTTCTTTGTTTTCCCTACCCTATTATAAATTTAATATCAACAACGTAATTTTGATTTATTTATTAATATAAATGTTTGTATTCACAGGCAATATAAATATACACGTTTTTTCAGCAATAGATAAATTATCTAGGTTTGAACCTAAAACAATATTATTTTGGGACGAAAATTAAAATATTTTTATAATTATAATTTATTTTAATTTTATAATAGTCTTTATCATTATAATTTTTAAATCTTTCAACCAAAAACGAAGTCGTTTTGAGAGTGAACGTAGATAGCTTACCTACATTTATTATAGAAATATTAAAGCCATGTATATCTATATAGGATAGGTTATACCACTCTTCAACATTATTAGATCAGAACCTCAACAGTATTAGATCAAAATCTAAATAAGAGAGAGAAATAATAAAGGTTGTTGAGATTATGATCTAAAGGTTTTGGAAAAAGATAGATAAAGATAAGCAAAAAAAAAAAATAGATAGAATAATTTATCTATATATATATATATATATATATATATATATAAGACATGATCATTTGATACCGTCTGAACTGTTGATTTCTGTCAATCTGATGAAGGTAAATTATTGATAATTAATAATTAATTAATAAGTATCACCAATAAATTATAAGCAACGGATTCATTAAAATCAACAGTTAATGCCCCTGTATATATATATATATATATATATATATATATATATATATATATATATTAATAATTTAGCAACATATAATTATAATAATAAAAAGGTTTTTTTAATAGATAATAAAAAGGTATTTTTACTGTAATAAAAAGTTTCAAGTTGACCGTGAGTCAACATTAAACTCTCTTTTTTTTGGGTACAGAGTCAACATTAAAATTTGATAATTATATATATTATCTGCTCACCAATATATATATATATATTATCTCGTAAAGATGCTTACAAATTTGTTGGATGCTTACAAAAAAGAAAAAGAAAAAAAAGATGCTTAAAAAAGAAAAAGATACTTTCATTTGATTCTGCGTTCACGCTACATAGTAAGAAAGGTTGCTGTTTACAAAAAAAAGAAAGAAAGGTTGCTTATTTTTTTGACTTATATTCTTTGCCTTAATTGGACTTGCTTGAAGATTTTACTTGGAAGTTTCGGTTTCGTAGAAATCGTGGTTGATGTTGTCATTTGTCAATGATGGAACCAAAATCTTTTACGAGGAGGGGGAAATTATAATTATTTTAAAATTCAATATTAATATAAAAAATTGTATAATTAAATACAAATACTTATAATACATAAACTTCATTACATAAATAAAAAAAAATGTAAAATAATATAAATATAAATACTCAATTCAATTGGATTAACTACAAAACAAAATCAATTTCAGTTATTATATATTGAGATTGATTTTTAAATAGACATCAGATATATTTAATATTGATTAGAAAATAAATTTACTTTTATGTTTAAATTTACTTTGTATCTAATTTTCAAATCCTAATTCTATTTTTCTTATTTTATTTATATATTATATATTAATATTTGGATAGACATAAAATCTATTTGAGATAATGAAGAAAAAAAAACTAATTTTATCATATTTAAATCTATTTTTTTTATCCAATTTTTGAATTATAGTTCAATTATTTTTATCTTACTTATTTAATTATTATATATTGATATTTAGATAGATATCAAATTTATTTGATATTGACTAGAAAACATAATCAACTTTATTATGTTTAAATATACTTTCTGTATGTTTACTTCTTCTATACATTTTTAATATATTTCATATTTTTATATCTTTTAAACTAATACTATTAACATTACCTTTTAACAAAATTATGGCAAAACATAGCAAACAACTTTTGTAACAATATAATGGGTATCGTGTTAAGCATGACTAGTCAAGCACTAAAAAATACCAATACTTGGTTTTAAAAGTGAAGGGGGGTCGATTTCCCATTAAGCCCCCTTTCACTCCACCACTGGATGTTATTGAGCTCATGAGGTTCTCAACACGTGAATTGAGAATATGGTAGGTCGTTCTTATTAGTTGAAGTATGTCCAGAGTGTGCTTTCGCCGAATGTGATGGCGCTTTATGATACTTACATGCTCTCATTCTTATTTTATTTTCCAAAGTTTGTCTTGTGTGTGCCTTCATTAAGTGTGGAAGCCCTTCAAGATTATAATTAGATACTTCAATTCGTAGGAATCTCCTAGAGTGAACTGGGACTGTGGTAAGTCTAGTAAGTCTCGTGGGTTTGTGAGCCCTTCAAAGTGAGAATTGGAAGCTCCTAAGCACATTGGGACAATGATCCTTAGTTGAGGAGGTGTCCCCCTAACCATGTTAAGTTGACATAGTGGTTGGGTTTAAGGATTATGTTGATAAGTCCTGCACATTCAGGATCGTGGCCCAGCCGAGCAAGTTCTTAGATCGCAACAAGTCAGTGACTAGCTGAGCTTGAAGGTAATGTGTTTGAAAAGTTATAGCGGACATATTGAGGGTTGATGTAGACACGTTGAAAAACACACAGTCTTAGAAAAAATTTGTTATTTATTAATTGGAAACATAAAAAGGAATTTATAAGTAAAGAAAAGGCATAAAAGAGTCTGGCCTAGTTAGTTATAATATCCTCACATGTTGATCGCATTCCTGGGAATTTTTTCACCGAAAAGGCTTTCCAATGTGTATGTTTCAGAGTTTTATTGCCAATAGCTTGGTAAGGGCCTTCCAAATAAGGGGTAAACTTCCCTTATGTCATGTTTTTCTTGCTGACGTTTACTCTTCTTTTGTTCACCATTTTGGAGGTAGGATTTGAAGTCTATGACTTCCCACAAGCAGCATAGATGTTCATCTAGAAATACGTGGACGAATTGTGATGTTGCTTATGAGTTTTCTTTGTTGGTGGCTGAATTGCTGAGTGAGGCTCCTCTATATGTTCTGATGGGCAACAAAGGAACAATAAACCTGCAAGGACTCTAATGCTCAACTAAATATATGAATGAGGTGAGGGATGCAAATAGGAGAAAGGTACATACCTAAGGGTGAAAACCTTGTATTTATAGGTTTAAGGTTTGTAACTAGGCCGATTGGTAGCTAGATCCAATATGGGTTCAATACATAACTTGTAATAAGTTTTCTCATGAAATATTAGATAAAATGCAATATGTAAAGGTGGCAAATTTTTACACGACATGACACCAAAAATTCATATTCAGGTTGACCCATTTTCAAATTAGTGCTATGCGTGTGTTGGCAAAATCTGACACAAAAAACTTCATGTCATATCGTGTGTCGACCCGCTAGCACGAAATTGACCCACGTTAATTTTTTTACAGGTTATTCATGTCATGTTGTGTTGTGTCCACCTGCATAATAAGTGACACACTTTGAGGTTAACAAATTATTTGTGTTGTGTCATGTCAACTCGCATAATAAATGACACATTTTGAGGTTGATAAGTTATTCGTGTCGTGTTATGTCAACCCGTAAAATAAGTGAGTCGTGTTAATGTCGAATTTTTTTGACTCTTTTTTTTATTTGTATTGTATTTTGCGTTGAGTGTATTCGCATTTGTGTCAAAATCGTATCTTGTCGTGTCATAAATTATCACCCCTAACAATATGTAATGCACATGATCATAACACATTATTGTCATTTATGTATGTAGATAAAAGATATGTTTTGATGATAATAAAGTGGCAACAATATAAAATAAGAGCCATGGTGATAACAATGCAAAAAGAATAAACCAAGAGCAATGAATCAAGAGCATTGAGATAACAATCCAAAAGCAATAAGCATCAAACTTGGCCAATAATCATGAAGAGATTTAAAGAGCAAAACTATGAGAAAAAAGGCTATAATGAAGGACAACAAAACATGGAATCGCAACACAAGCAATGGTAAAATAAAGATCAAGTCCAAGCTCTTATGATATCTAGTTCCTAGACTTAGATCTTTATATAAGGGTATCATGGTGTTTTCTTTCAAGAGCTTAACATTGCATAATCTCTCAAAATTGCATGTGTAACACCCCGTATATATCCGGTAATGTTATCATAATATCGTATTAAGCTGCGCTTAATTAAAATGCGGAATTACTTTTTCTTTTCAATTATGATGCCATTAACATTACCAACTTGCTTAATAATCAATTAATAAAACATCGTCTGTATGTAATTGCAATAAGACAGCTAACTGAAATACCTCATAACATAGATAATATAAATGTGGCTCTAGTCACGGAACTACAACAACGTAGACCGGACCATCTAACAGTTTATACAACTCCAAACTACAAGTACTAACAGAAGGTGTCATGGACAATCCCCATGCTCACTCAAATAAGGCAACATGCCCAACATCAGTCTCAACAACATCATATCATAAATAGCGGAAAACATAAACAGCATCCAAATTCAGTCATGCTAACAAATAAGCAGAAACAACAAAATCAGCTAAGCTCCGGCCTCCCGCCGCCTGAGGCATCAGTACCCATACTACCTGATCCTGAAATAAGCATTCCCCAAACGTGGGGTAAGATCTCTAATCTAGAAATCTCAGCAAGTCAGTGAGTCCTCAAGGATCTTCCACCCCAAGCTCACTTACATATGCAATATAAGTTCAAAAGCAGTTTATCATTTATCATTTCAAAAACAATGCAATGCAGCAGATAATCATGTCATGTGTGTCAATACTAATCTACTGGCCAGAGACAGTGCAGGTATACGTCTATCACCTACACACCGTGCAAGTATCATTTGCATTCACCCCGGTACACCGTCTTGTATGGCGCTACATACTCAGGCTTCCCGTCAATAGGGGTGGCAATACGTGTCAACCCGGCACGACCCGGCACGACACGCGCCCAACACGTGAAGAACTCGACACGACCCGGACACGGCACGTTTTATAAAAGGGTCAAAAAACACGAACCCGGGCACGCCCGCTACGGGTCACGGGTCGACACGACACGACCC